TGACAAATCTGCCGTCCTGACCGATGCCTACTGCAAGTCACGCCGGCTGCAGGTAAGATCAAGCTACCCTGCGGAGACGCTAGCAACAGCCCATAACTTAGAGGACTCCTACCCCATCATTCTTACCCTACATCAGTTAAAGGCGGTACCGCTTACACCAACACAACTCAACCATATAATTGAAATAAGCGGTCTCTGTATCAAAATTACCCTCACCATCGATGCTGAATCGGTATTCGAATTCTTGTCCAACAAGGACCTCAACAATCCGACAGAGTGCAAACTGCTAGGACACATTCACTGGATAAGACTGATGATGGATAGACGTATCGTACACAGAATACGATGGTGTGATACTCGGGATATGACTGCCGATGGACATACTAAATTCAGCATTGAACGGGACTTGCTGTTGCAAGTAGTGCCGAGAACGCAATCCTTTAAGCACGAACTGAAGACTTACACTCCATATAGGGTTCCGACCTCAAAAGTTGGGTCTGGCTTATCACGAGCTGGCGGAACGCTTCCACTTGGCGTGGAAACGGGCGGGGAGATGAGAACATCTTTATGTTTTGCATTTGGCCTGAAATGTTCTGCTCTTTTCCTTGCGATGCCTGCGCCTTTGGGTCCCTGTCAGAGGGACTCCGCAGAGCTGTCGCTGGCATTTGGCCAGGCCAGCCCCTGCCGCCACGTTGCGGCACGATCCTGATTCGATGCCGGATCGTGCCTGCCGACACTTCGCAGCTCGTGGCATCACGGGCCTTTGTGCGTTTTCCTCTGCAGAAGATGTAACTTAATCTTGCTGCTCGCTTAGCTCGTTTCCTCCCCCTCGACTCTGAAATAGGGAGTTCAGAGGATACATATGTATATATACAGTTATACATATAAATATATAGATAGCGAGCATAGCGAGCGTGCCGCGGGAGTCTGGCTCAAGGTGCCAGCGCCCGATTTGCCTGAACCGCTCGAGGATCTTGCGGCCCCCTATAGCATGAGAAAAGGGATTTGGTCACGCCCCTGGAAGATGCACCATCTTACACCATATCCCAAACCTCTTACTACATGGTCCTCATCCTGCTTTAAACTCTCAGAGGCTCCCAAGCCCTAAGAGGCCCCCACAAGGACCCCAATAGGTCCCAGGAGGCCCCACGATGTCATTCAGAGGCCCTCAATAAGCCCCCAGGAGGCCCCAAGACGCACATAAGAGGCCTCGTCTTCCTCCTCCTTCTCCTCCTCATCCTCCTCCTCCTCCTCCTTCCTCTACATCTGCTCAATATCAATACTACTCTCCACTCTCCCCTGAAGATGGCCTGGAAGTCTCCTGGCCCCATCCGCGTACTGTTCCAAACCCTCCTGTGTTTGGGGTTCTCGTTTTGAACAGAACACGGCTCGCGCAACCTCCCACCCCCACTCTAGCCTACCCCTCCTCCTGCCTCCTGCATGTTGCTTATCCACAACCCTCCTGAGGATTGGGTTCTCTTTTTGGATAGAGCACGGTGGTGTTCAAGGTTCCCAATATTAGTCCTCCTCCTCCTCCTCCTCCTCCTCCTCCTCCTCCTCCCCTCTCCTCATGCCTCCTGCCTCCCTGCTTTCCTTGCTCGTACCTTTCCTGCTGGGGGGCTGCGACATGCGCATCCGTCGTCACTTTCGTGGGCTCATGGGAGGTACAGCAGAGGCGGTGGGCAGGCGAGACCTCACGGCTCCCTGGGAGACTGCCAACTGCGTGCTTCTGGGAGGTTCAGTGGAGGCGGTGGGCAGCCGAGACCTCGCGGCTCCCTGGGAGGCTGCCAACTGCGCATCTGTCGTCACTTTCGCGGGCTCTGGGGAGGTCCAGCGGAGGCGGTGGGCAGGCGAGACCTCGAGCATCCTTGGGGGGCTGCCAACTGCATGCTCCTGGGAGGTTCAGCGTATTGGATGTGCAGGCGAGACCTCGCTGTTCCCGAAGAGACTGTCAACTGCGCACCTGTCGCCACTTGTGTCGGGCTCCTGGGAGGTCCAGCGGAGGCAGTTGGCAGGCGAGATCTCGCGGCCTCTGGAAGGCTGCGACATGCGCAACTGTCGCCACTTTCGTTGGGCTCCTGTGAGGTCCAGCGGAGGCGATAGACAGGCGAGACCTCGCGGCTCAATGTCAGGCTGCCAGCTGCGCAACTGTCGCCACCTTCGTGGGATCCTGAGAGGTTCAGCGGAGGTGGTGGGCAGCCGAGACCTCTCGCCTCCCTGGGAGGCTGCCAACTGCGCATCTGTCGTCTCTTCAGTGGGCTCAGGGGGTCCAGTGGAGTAGACTGTCACGCAGAGCCAAGGGAAATCTCGCGGCACCATCGGGGAGTGCCAACAGCGCAACTGTCGCCACTTTCATGGTCTCCTGGGAGGTCCAGCGGAGTAGAGTGTCACCCAGATCCAGGCGAGACATCGCGGCCCTCTCGCGGGCTGCCACCTCGGAACTGTAGACGCGGCCAAGCGGCTCAAAACGGTGGTCCATCGGTCCGCAGAAATATTATCATCAGCGGCCTTCCTGGTGACCGGGCATCGCTTCCCTGGAGGAGGATGGGGAGGACAAGGGGGAGGGCGGAGGCTTTCCACGTCGCGGGGCGATTTTCCTTGTCGTGCTTGTTGCTGGTCGTTGCCACATAGTTGCGCAGGCATAGTCGCGCAAGCATGTTTTCCGGTCTGAAAGGCGCGCGTGTGCGACGCGCGTGGCACGACATTATTTGGCGAATTCTGTCAGAGTGCCACGTATCTCGCAATTTGTCCTTTTGTGATCAACGTTCATAAAAATGTGTGCCTCGTGTGCAGAAGGGGTTGGGCACGTCTTGGATATTTTCTTAGACGGAGGACTTCATTATCTGTCATGGCATGTGGCGTTTCAATCGGAAAGTCTTCCGCCGCTGTAGCGTTGGTCTTCATTTCAGGATCTGCGCTTTGCTCTCATCGTTCAGAACGGAGCTCTCGCCCTGAGAGAGGACTACTTTTCCAAATCCGACTGCTTCCTCGTCGTTGTCGTCCCGCTTCTTTCCCCTCCCACGCCTTCTCCTGGTCATCCTGCTCCTCCCGCTTCTCCTACACCAGCTCCTGCTGAGGCTTTTCCTCCTCGTCCTCTTACTCATTTCTCATCAAACCCTGCTCTCCTTCCTGCTCATTCTCCTGTTCATCCACAACCCCTTCCTCCAATGTACGCAGCTCTTCTTGTCCGATTGCGCGTGACACGATGGGGTCCTTTCTGGAACTCCAGGTCCGCTACGGAACGCGTCGGCGGAAACATAACAAATCAGCGCAATGGATGGGTGGGAGGAGTAGTATGTCAGGTATGGCGTGAACGAAAATGGTGTTCCTCTTCCTTTTCCTCTCTCTCTCTCTCTTTCTCTCCCCCTCCCCCAAGTATTTCCCAAAGGATTCCACGACGTATGTGGGATTAGTACGACCTCGGCCCAACGTTTGAACACATAGGCGCCTCCTAAAGGCAGCGGACGGCGGTTGTTCGCCGTAGGCGGCTTCTGCTCCCGTTTTCGCCATCGTATCACCCAGAGATGGGCCCCAGAGGCTCCTGATGTAACCCCACAGCTTGCTGCAATATTGCCCAGAGGTCATCACAGAGGGCAACTGGCTCAAGATGCCCCCGAGAGGCCCCAAGATGGCTCGACAACTTCCCCACGATAGTCCCAGGGTGGCTCAGCCTGGGGGACCGGCGTGAGAGGGCCCATCACTTCTCACAGGGAACGGTGTTACAACTGCGCGGATGAAGGGCGGCTCCCTCTCAAAGCGAGGCCCTCCATCGAATGGCAGGCCCATGGGGCTCCCGTCGCTCGTCCTCCGAGGGGGGGGGAAGCTCCTGGCGTGTCGAGGAATGGCCGCGGGACTCAAGACGAAAAGACCTGGGACGGGAGGCTGAACAGCAGTCGTTTTGACATGAGGAGCGCTGCGTAACAACAAAAAAAAACAGCCTTCTCCTGGCCACGGCGAACCTCAGCCGCGAACCGGTTCCCCGACCGAAGTCTAAGGAATGGCCCAGACTCCGGAGCCCATCCTGAGCTCGAAGTGGTCCTCATCCCAGTGTCTTGACAGTATTGCCGCATCGCTGGTGCTCCTTGGATTTGCTCTGCTCCTCCTCTCATCCTCGTCCTCCTCCTCCTCCTCCGCCTCCTCCGCCTCCGCCTCCCCCTCCTCCTCCTCCTCCTCCTCCTCCTCCTCCTCCTCCTCCTCCTCCTCGTGCCTCCTCCTCCTCCTCCTCCTCCCCTTTCCTCCTGCCTCCCCCCTTTCATCCTGCTGCCCCCTTTCATCCTGCTGCCCCTCCTCGGCCGCGTCCTCCACATGTGCATCTCATACTCCTGTCACGTCTCGCTGAGAAATTTTGTCTGTGAGCATCTGGGTGTGAGAGTGAGTCAGAGTGGACGATGGGCGAGACAGCAACGGCTTCAGTGACGTCCTTCTCCTCTGGGCATCTTCCAGGAGAGATGAGGGAAGCTCAAGTGGAAGAGCGAGGGAGCAGTGGACAACCAAGAGAACGAATAATGAGCGAATCTGAGGGAGAATGATCTAAGTGTGAGTGAGTCTGAGTGTGAGTGAACCTGGGTCTGATTCAGTGTGAGTATGCACGAGATTAGATATGAGAGTCTGACTACGAGTGGTTCTGAACATGCGTAAATCTTAATATGGGTGAGTCTGAATGGGAATGAGCCGGAGTGTGGGTAAGTCTGAGTGTGAGTGGGTCTGAGATCGAGTTGAAAATATACGCCTGAGTCTGAGTGGGTCTGAGTACGAGTGAGTCTGACTACGAGCGAATATGAGGGTGACCGAATCTGAGTGCGAGCGAGTGTGAGTGTGAGTAGGGCTGCGTGAGAGAGTCTGATAATGAGTATGATGAGTGTGATCCGTAGTATGAAGGAGTTTGAGAACGAGTGAGTTTGAGCATAAGTGAGTCTGAGGGTGGGTGAATCTGAATACGAGTACGTCCGAGTGTGAATTCGTCAGAGCGTGTGTGAGATTGAGTGAGCAAGTCAGAATGTGGGTTGGTCTAGGTATGACCGAGTCTGGGTATGAGTGAGTCTCAAGATGGTGGAGTCCGAGTGTGATGAGTGAGAGCTGCGTTGCGATCCCCGCTGCCTGCGTGCAGCACAAGGGGCGCGCGGAGCAGGAGGTGGACAAGGAGGATGAGGGAGGAGGGGCATCGAATCCGCAAGTGGTGCCCAAGCAGGGCGCGCGTGCGCGCGGGTCTGCCGCTCAGTGGGAGCGTGCGAGCGGCCTCCTCTCGAGGCCATCGCGGGCGCAGTCGGCGGCGAGCTGCTGCCCAACCATTAGAGGGTCCATCTTGTACTCGTGCGGATGCACGACCACGAAGGCCATCGCGGCTCCGACGCTGCCCAACGCCTGGGCAGCCACATAGTAGAGGAGAGCCTGGCTGTTCACAGCCTGGAAGCCCGAGCTGATGAAGTTCGAGGTCGCGATGCCCAGCGAGAACGCCGGGTTCAGGTGCCCGTGGGAAATACCCTCCATCGCGTAGCTTCCTGCGGTGTAGCACATGCCGGTGACGAGTGCGAACTGGAAGCTTCTGGTGGAGGAAGCCTTTGGGTACCTCGGGGACTTCACGGTCATCATGCACATCACGACAAGAGCCGTGGCCGCCGTGAAGATTGCCTCCCCGCTGATGAGGGCGGCCCAACCGTAGCCATCCTCGGTGTTAGGGCCCATGTCGACGACCCTGTCTTTATTGAACATCGAATTTCCCGAGCGGTGAAGCATGCAGACCGTCAGCGCCGCGCAGATCGCCGCGCCGCTCTGCGCCAGTACGAAGGAGGTCCCCTCGGCGACCAGGCACCCTGGCCGGCGGCTGAGGAGCACCGCGAGCGTTACGGCAGGGTTGAAGTGGGATCCCGAGACGCCCCCGAGGGCGTAGGCGAGGGACAGCATCGCCGCACCGGTGGCCCAGGCCACCGAGGAGGAGCTGTGAGTGTCCGCCGCCTGTGTGCCGATCGGGGTCGCGCCCCTGGCCGCGTGGCCGTGGACGTGCGGCATATGAACCAAGACGGGCTCGGTCGCGTTGCGCTGCGCCTGGCCCACCGCGGAATGCTCCGCAGCCATCTGCTGGTTCACAGTGGCGAGAACGAACGTGAACGTCACCACGTACGTGCCCAGGAGCTCCGCGAGCCAGCGCGCGGACACCTGCACCGCGTAGTTCTCGTACATGTGCGCCTTCGGGACCTCGGCGCCTGGGCCGCCCTCCGAGTCGGGGGCCGCGCCGCCCTCGTCCTCGGCCCGGCGCCGTGCGCCACAGAACGCGAGCGCTCTGAAGGCGCGCTCGCAACTGAGCCCGTCGACGACATCTTCGACAACCTCCTCGAGCTCCTCCGGACGCACCATGAAATAGAGGATTACGGCGGCATTGGCCGCCAGTAGCTGGCACGCCACGTAGCAGCCGACGGCGGAGAGCGCCGACTTGCTGGTGACGCCGAACCCGACTGTAGCTGCCGGATTGAGGAACGCACCCGAGATGTCATTGGTGCAGTACCCGCCAGCTATGGCCACGAAACCGACCGCAAGCGCGAAGTACTGGTTCCGGTCCCCTGGAGGATTTGCCCGCGACGACGCCATGCAGTTCAACGCCACGAAAGCGATTGTTGTGCTGAAGATGAGTTCCACGATGATGGCGTCGATAAAATCCGACGACCCCTTGTGGGTCTCTAGGCGTGTGAGATTCCCCCCCATCCCCCCAGAACCTCCCTGGAGACCCCAAACCAGGAATCCCACCAGCCCTTTAGGGCGTAAAATGGTTTAGGGGGGTTCCTCTTCCACCCCTCCCTCTTCCGCTTCGGAGAACCCCCTCCCCCTATCCCCTCCCCTGGACCTGGACAACGGGTTTCGCGGGTAGTCGAAGCGTCCAAAACGGCCTTGGCGAGGAAGCCCAAATCATAGGGTTTTGCAGAAGGTTCCGGCGGCCTTCTGGGTGGGTGGGGGGGCTAATTAGGGAGCCCCCCTTCTTCGATCGATCTCCTCCGAAATGGTCCCAAGAGCGTCCCCAAGGCACCCAACGGTGCCCCAAGAGGGCCCCAAGAGGTGGCCACGAGGCCCCAAGATGCCCTCAAGACTCCCCCAGGATGCCCCCAAGGAACTTCCAAGAAACCCCCAAGAGGCCCCCAGAGGCCCCCCAGAGGCACCCAAGACAGTCCAAGAAGCCTCGGCGAGAATGCTAAAACCATTGATTGTTATTAAAATGTTGACCACAGTTTGGCCTCCCGGGCGGGGGGGGAGTGATTCAGGTGACCCCAGAAGCGCCTGGGGGAGCTTAAGGTGACTTCCAAAATGGTGCAACAAACCCCAAGTTGCCTCCATATTCCCGCGATGCCCCAAGAGGCCCCAAGACCGCTCCAATACGGCTCCACGTGGCCAAGGAGCTCGCCCAGGAGGCCCCGAAGAGGCCAACATCCATGGCCCAACAGGGCCCCAAGAGAGGCTCAAGAGAGCCCCAAGACGGCCCCAAAGGCGCCCGAAAGCGCCCCAACAGCGCCCAGGATGCCCCAACCGGCACCCAACGGGCTTCCAAGAGGCTCCCAACAGACCCCCAAGAGGCCCCAAGAAACTCTCCGAGGCACCCGAGACGCTTTAAGAGGCGCCTGGGACCGCCAAGACGCCCCCATGACGCTCCAGGAGGCCTCCACTGGGGGGCCTTTTTTTTCTTTGTGTGTTGCGCACTTTCCTGATCGAAGCAATTCCTCTGAGCATCGCTTCTGGATGGGAATGGTGGGGTTTGTTGATCGCGACCGCGGCGAAAGAGGTCGGGCGGCGCCCAGGAACGACGCGCACGGGCAACGACCCAAATTCGCGCACAGGGAGAAGGAGGGGCGAAAAGATACAAGAACAAACGGGGAGAGAAGCAAACAGGAAGCGAGCCTCGCTGCCGCTCACGGGAGGGCGCGCGCCAGGAAGTCCTTCCGGGCGGAATGCAGCGCCAAAACGGCGGGGCGCAGGTTGGCCGACAACGCGCACGCGCCGAGGGCAACCGCCACCAAGACGAACCGCGAACCGCGAGTCCAAAGCCGAGCCGTGGAACAACGGATGCGAGTGACAGCGGTGTCGCGCGCCTCGGAGGAAATCAACCAACGCCACGTGGGCGCTCAACGGAACAAGTCCTGTTCATTCTTTCTCCCAGAAGAGCGCTGAGGCGACGGCGACGCGTCGAGTGGGCCATGGTCCCGCGCAGCCGCGCGGAGAAACGTGGCAATTGCAAAGGCTTTGGGCTGGCGAGGGCAGAAACGATGGCTACCGAGCGAACTCAAGCGGACGTGCGCAACGAACAATACCGTGCACTACTATGTTCATTCTTTCTTCCAGAAGAGCGCCGAGGCGACGGCGACGCGTTGAGTGGGCCATTGTCCCGCGCAATCCACCTGCACGAGGTAAACCCGCCTCCGCGCAATGTGCTGGTCTACCGCATCAAATTCCAAATCCGTTTGGCCCGAAGAGATACAGGTAACTGCGCGAGAACTCACGAGCGAGCGCCGAAGAGAGGCGCGGTGGGTAGGCGGCATTGAGACGGGTCAGGAAACCAGTCTTAGAAGTACCTGTCAGAACGATGAGAGTTTTTTCAGAACACGTGCAGATTCCTCGGCCCTTGCATTGCCAGGAATACAAATCGGGAGGCACTGTGACGTTGGCTAACAACATGCGGGTGCGGGCTCGAAAAGGGCGTCCCGCACCGAAATAATCAAATACGATTTCATTGACACTTGTGCGAGCACAGAAGCGCCTCTGGCTGGGCAAGAGCCAGAAGAGGCTGGAGGCTGGATTCTCTCCCCCCGCCGGCAGCTGCCGCGAGAGGGCGATCCGCAACAAGACCGCGATTCTGTCAGCAAGCTCGTTGGAATCTAGGACCGCTTGATAGTCGGCGCCCTCCAGGCCAGGGCGGCCCAGCAGGTGGCCCCCGTCTCGGAGGCGGCGGGGCATGACACTAGTTATGCGGGGGCGCACGGCGGGCCTGAGGCCACTTCTCGCACGGGCTGCCAGAGAAAACGCCCCAAATGATGCCTGACTCTAGCCAGCCACGCAAGGCGCGGAAAACGTCGCCCTGTAGCAGGTCGCATTTAAGGCCAAGCAGCAGATTAATTGATACTACAGCATGCCCCCTTTTTCCCTAGCTCCGCGGCGAGCCCGCCGGCCCCTGAAAAGAGATCGAGAAGCGCCCGTCGCTCTCCAAGCCTACCTGCACGGAGGGCTGCGCGAAGGCGTTGCCGAAGAAACTCGGGGCGGCCGCCGCCCACCGCTCGCGCTCGCCCTTCTGGGAATTGCTGAGGCTCCGCAGCGCCGGCGCCAGCCGCCCAGCCTTGTCATCTCCTGGCCGACGAGGCGGCTCGCCACATCCCGCGCCTCTGGACTTCCAGAAGAGATCGGCAGCCTTCTGCGCGATCGTGCGTCGCGCCTCCGCGCCTCAGACAGTGAGGCGCGAGGCCCATATCGCCGAGCTTGAGGTGCTGAGGGGCAACGTGGAAATCGGCAAGGAGTTTTGAATAGGCGAGGCGAAACAATGGTTCGTCCTCGCGCCAGAGGGACTGAAGGCGTAGAGCGGCACGTCCAATCCAGCGATGACGGGGTAGATCGAAAGCCACTGTGGAATCGAACTCGCCCGTCTTGGAGCTGATTGCCAGTTCTTCTGGGTGAAGGATCAGCAGCGGGCAACGCAGGACACCCGCCCCTCTGCCAGACCAAGCCACCAGCTGCTTGGCCAGCAAGGTCGTGGCCTCCGACGGGCGCAGGTAGCACTCGAACTTCGCCAGGATGCACAGCCCGGACTCTGGCTTCCCCAGCGAGGCCAGCACGGCCGCGAACGCCAGCGCCAGCACTCGAGGAAGCGGCGGGCGCGAATGCCCGGGTCCAACCGGCTAGCGACGAGTGAGCCGAAGGGAAGAGACGCCGCGCGGGCCCCCCCAGCGCGGGCCCCCCCCCGCCACAGCACAGAGGGCGCGCGAGACCGCCCCCCTGCCCATGCCGCGGTCGAAGGCCCACTCGGCGTAGTCGACCAGGGCGCCACTGCAGGGGCGTCCACTCCGGGAGCGCCTTCAGCCTGAGCCAGCCCAAGAGCATGGTCAGCGCCCGCAGGTAGGTGCGCCCCGTGGCGGGGCGCCCCCGGCTGGCGGCCAGCCGCGGGAGCCGCGGACACAGCTGCGCCCGCCGCGCGCTGTGCCAGACGGGAGCGGCGCTCGCCGGCGCGGATGTCCAACCCTGGCGGGGGCCCGAAGGGCCGGGCGGCCAGCGCCCGCCTCCCGATCCTGAGGCGCGCCGGGTGATCCGCTTCGGCTGGGGCTCCGCGGCATCGCGGGCGCGCTTGTCGAAGGCGGGGTTGGCCCGGAAGGCCCGAGCCGGCATTGACGTCGTCGTTCGAGCCGATGTCTACGGAGGGCGCGCATCCTCTGCGGTTGTCGCGCCGCGTGTTGATGTCGCGCTGCACCTGTGCATGGGGTTAGAGTACAGAGGTGCGGAAACCCTGTTCCGTCGGTAAAGAAAGGAGGGAAAGATAGGGATATGTTCCTCCTGTGCGACCAGCGCCCTGGTCTATTCCAGTACCTGAGCCGATAAGGCGAGCAAACAGGCGAGTGAGGAGTAGAGATGAGGATATGAGACGGGTTCCTTTCACACCCCCCGTCCCGAAGCCCGCCCGCGCGGGCAGGACTCGGGAAAAGGAAGAAAGAACCTGTCACCCTCTTACTCCTCAAAGTGCACAAGTAGCAGGCGCAAAAGTATGTACCGCCTATGCTGCGTCCCGAAAACATCAGCAGCGCGCAAAAGTACGTGGCGCTTCTGCTGGTGTGAACGGGCAGAGCGAGGACGACGGAGCACCCCAGTGTCCATAATCCTTTCCGAACACACTTTGGCGCCCCTCGGCGCGCCCCCAAAAAACGCTTCGGCACTCGAGGGTCGAGAGGAGTGGGGCACGGGTGAGCGGAGCAAGAGGACCGGAGCAAACTATAACACCATCAAAAGCCGCTGCGTCCAGGACACAGCGGGTGTTGCCACCAGCGTCGAACTAAAGCTGGGTATAAGATCGTACTCTAAGCTTCGTCGTCTGTAATACGGAAGCTGTCGCACAGAAGATTCACTCGATCCAAATGAATTCAGCGTCGCGTTGAAGAACACGGAAAGTTGAATAGACAAATTCTGCAACGAGAGGGTCTCTTCGGCAGAGCTCCTAAGGAGCGCGCCTCGGACATCACCAAGATGTGTATAAGAAGGCACTTTTCGTAGATAGTTTACTGCTCGAGGCGAACTCTGTAAAGACGAAGTTCAGGCAAACTCGAGCAGTGGGCCTTGCGGCCGACGTTACTAGGCATTGCCGCGCGGGTAGAACTCACTGGCCCCAACGCGGTGGCCATTGATACCAGTGAAGCTCGTCGTATATGTTGCCCACGTGGTCCTCGCGTGCCAATTGTAGAAACGAGGATTGTACTGCAGGTCGCGGATGCACACGAATTCGTCGTTGTTTCGCAATGTACATCCAGCAGTTGTCGCGGTAGCTCCAGCACCTGGGGCCCCACTGGCTGCCCGCGAGGTTGTGGCGCCAGTACGCAGCGCACTCGTCGGCGGACGCCGGCGCTGCTGCCAGCTGGCTGCCAGCCACTCGGCCGCGGGGCGGCAGCGGCGTCGCCGCGCCGCCCAGCGGGCATCGCAGCCGGCGCGCCAGTGGCGCGGGCACCAGCAGGGTAGCCGCGGGCAGCACGAGGCGGCGGCGCCATGGCATCGCGTGTAAAATGTGTATGTGTGGGGGTGGTATCAGGATCGGTTCCTACCCCTGAACCCTTCCCCCCCCATGGCCTTGTGATCCCAGGGCAGGTCCAACAGAGGCAGCTTTGGCAAGATTGCGACGCGTGGTCCGGTCATAAGTGCCGTCCCCACGGGGAATGGCGATCGTGACCAGACCGCGTTCTTGCCTAGTGCTTCTGTCCATTCTACCCTCATTCAACCACCAATTCTTACGACCGGCGAGGACAAGTGTTTGGCTGCGATAGTGAATATTGCAAGCCTCACACATGTCGTCCTCGGTCCAGGGCACCTTGCCGACAGCCTCACGGGCTCCGCTCATTTGGTAGTGGAATCGGGATTCATTGGGGAAGCGCTGAAGGACGTTACGGAAGGGGTGGTACAATGGGCGGTCGTCGTCGGGCTCTCCCACGAGCCTGCAAGAGCGGGCAGGTGGGCGACCCGCAGCGCACCACCGATTGTACCTATCCTCGGCCTTCTTCGCCATCATCCTCAATCTATTACGCTGCTCACTCGTAGCCGAACGCTGCCCCCCGAAGTAGATCTTCGTGCCCTCTGAGATGAGGCGGGCCACTTCGTTGTGGGACAGGTTGTTCCTGCCCCACTGGTTGAGCTCCTGCAGGTACGCAAGGTCGGCAGCCTCAGCGCCGCCAACTCCCGTGGCACCTACAGAGGTGCTGTATTGCCAGCGTATGTCACATAGAGTGCCATTGTCAGTAACAATGCCCAATTGTCAGTAACCATATTTTTTGGTCTGGTGCTGCCGAAGCAACACTGCCTGGGTCCTGTGGTATCTCGGCGGAAGCGTCGGGCATGGCAGCGCCTGGTTCATCCTGGCCAGGCGCAGCAGGTGTTGCCACCGGCTCCTCCCGCAGAGGGAAGCCTGCAGATCCGCGCTGGTCCTCGCATTCTTTGTAGAACGATCGGAGCGCTGTGAGGGCAAGATGATGAGCGTTAATGACGATCTTGTTGAATTTTGTCAACTCTTGTATACCCTCCAGCAGAAAGTGCCGGCATACCTTAGAGATCCACTGAAAGATCCCTGTAGTAGTGCCCTGCGCGGACTCGGGGTCGAGGAACCGCAACAGTTTCTTGGAGAAGTGCTCTGCAGTGCACACAGGAAGATCCCGTGCCCATGTATGAGTGTGGTTGTGATATATCTTGTGCATATCTGATTCGGTCAAAAAACGAAGCTGGAATATTATAGATGATTCAACCTTGTCCTGTATGAACAGTTCGGGACTGCCGCGTATCTCGATCACCTGTTTTAGCGGGAACATCGGCGACTCCATCAACGGTGCCGATGTCCATTAATACACCATATGGTTGCCCGATTATGTCGCCCAGTTGTTGGTATCTTTCGGAAGGTAATCCTTCTGGTTTAAGGATATTCTCTGGTGGATCAAAGATGCATTCAAAGAGAGAAGTACCAGAGTTCTGATATGCCTGGATCTCGGCTGTCATCTCAGCCTCCATGGCGTCATTGGCGGTCCTCTGTCCATCGCTTACACAACTTCGGAAACATCAGCGACGATGGTTGAGCGCTCGGCGGTGGTGTCAACCACTTGTGGCCGAATGCCTTCGTCAATCTCCATGGGATCTTCAGCGGGCGCTGCCACCGGCTCCTGGTCGGATCGCGGGGTCCGATGAGCGGTGTTTCGAGGCGGTGCGCGTGGGATACGCACTCGCTGAAGAGAAGGAGTACCGAAGTATGGAAGTTCATGGGATTAGGCATACTCAGCGATCTGGGAGCTGCATGATGACGGCCCCGTCATAGCCACCTCCATGTGGGCATCATCAATCTTGTCAGCACGAATGGGCATGGCGTAAACGACGCCCTTGAGTGGCAAATTGTCGTCGGAGTCCCAGATGTTTACCCATCGCAATCCGTAGTGTAGCATCACTATCTGTGCCGCGAAGAACTTCTCAAAGACGCCGAAGTGTATGACGGGGCCATAGATGCGGCCCTTGTTCGTGCGAGCTTTGGTGCTATAATCGCCCTTGGGGTAGTGGTTGTCGTAGTGGTAGCAATTGACTTGGCCCCGAGATCATTTTTTTATTCCGGCCGGTAACGCTCGTTACCCGGGGGGGGGGGGGGGGGTCGTGCCCCCCGGGTAACGGTAACGCTTGGGCTGGGCGGGGTATGGCGAAGCAGGGGCGCTCTGCGATCGCCATAGTATGCGCGCGAGCAGCACTCTCTGCCTGAGAGCACCACAGTGGCTTGCGATTCGAGTACAAGCGCAAAGCCCGCCGCGTGGTCCCGGCACCACGCCCGCGCCCGCGCGCGCGACGACGATGATCGACGAGCGACGAGCGACGAGGTCGACGACGACGACGACGACGTTTGCCGCCTGTTTCGGCCTCCGGAGGCCGTTTTCGGGCGCCGTCGACGACGACGACGACGACGACGACGACGACGACGACGACGACGACGATTCGAGTACAAGCGCAAAGCCCGCAAGCACCAGCATCGCGCATGCGAGCGCCGCAATGGCCTGCGAGCGCCCACAGTGCGCCTGCGACCACCACACCACAGTGCGCATGCCTTCGGGCACCAGCATGTTGGAGGGGAAGACCGAGACCCCCCCCGCGCACGAGCGTTACCGTTACGGGGGGGGGGGGGAGAGGCCCGGGTAACGAGCGTTACCCCCCAGAGGATAAAAAAACAATCTCCAATTTTTCACGAAGATGAAGTTGCCGACACGAACATCTGTGAAGATAGGACGTCGGCCCCAGTCTCTCTGCGTCAGCTCTGCTGCGATGGGCCTGAGCGCCGCCCTGCAGCACGCCATCGACATAAGCCAATCCTTGTCCTGCTGGTTGTATGTGCTCCTGCCAACCATAGCACAGACAATGGCCTCTTCGTCGAACGTATCGGGGTCGGTAAATTCTTCTGCCGAGTGAATGAGTGCTGCTGTCACTGCGGCTAGACCAGCAGGGGTTGCCCCCGGCGTGGGCGCCAGGGGTTGCTGTGCCGATGATGCAGAGGCAGACTTGGAACCACTGATCTGGGCTATCGGTGCCTGCTGCAAAGGCTTTGGCGAGTATGCCAGAGGATGAACCTTCGCAGCAGGCGTTGCCGCCGGCGCGGGTTGGCGTGCGTCTGACGGGGGTGGTGGAGCAACCCAAGGAGGGTCGGCAATCATGTCAGCCTCTAACTCCTGGGCAACCTGCTCCTGTCGTGACTGCCGCCGAGGCGGAGCGCAAATTTCAGATTTGCTGACTGGTGTCCCAGCGCGGTCCATTTGCAGGCCACAACTGTTTGCCACAGTCGCGGTCCCCCCTGCAACGGCGAATGGTCACAATTGCAGCGGAAGGAACCATGTCCTCGGTCATGATAGCGCCTTGGGCGCCAAGCCAGGATCAGCATCCAGATTGTGTGGCAATATACATGTAAATCACGAACTCCACCTCGTTTTTCCAATGATTGAACTTGTATGGTGTGACAAACGTGAGGATTAGGCTGCGCACCCTTCATGTATGTACTCGAACTGTAGAAGGCCTCGGTGCGCGGCTCCTCCAGATGCTTTTTGTCTCGCTGAGTAGTTTATAGATATATATATATATATATATATATATATCCTGGGATGATTCCATGTGCCAAAATGTTGCCCCAAGCACGAGATGTTGTGCCGTGGTGGAGGTATTTCACGTCGGTCCACTGTAGGCTGTCCCAGCCCATATTCCATGGCTGGGAACGCGGGTTGACCGAACTATGTCCTCCTACGCAACGTATGGCAACTACGCTGCTCCAATCGAGGCAGCGGGGATTGCTCCCGGCGGATCATGGTTTACCGTAAATCTCAATCCTATTCTTCTCTGGATCAATGTGCGTCTGTAAAGCACGAAGGATAAAGATCGGGTAATAATCCGTCCACGCTTCCCAGTCCAAGCCGTCTTTAAGGTAGTGTTCCATGGCCGCTTCATCGGATGGGCCATTGCTGCGATCACGACGGCTGCGGAAGTTCCACTCCACCACTTCCTCGAAGGAGCGCCATGTGCTGGTGTATTTCCACCTGGCATTTGAGCGCCGTTCCCATATATTAATACGCCGATCAGTGAAATGATCGATGCTGAAGTGCTTGCTATATGAGATATGGCGCAGCGTAGTCGTGATATCCTTGCTCATGTTCTTGGGGTCGCCAAGATATTCTTTCAATATCAGGTCGGAACCATACGGCGTTTCTTTGTACGGTGGGAGAGAGATCCATTTGTATTCAGGAAAGCAACCAGAATGGTCGAGATCAGGTGCGTGGGTGATCACGAAATCGTCATAGTCCAACTGAGCTGCCCAATCCCTGTCAGTGATGCGCTGCACGCCTCCTGACGCGCCCGTGCCCCGAAGTGGAGGGGGCGCGTGATAATGCTCATCTGGCTGTTGCGCGCGGAGTTTATACTCACGAGGAGTGCATGCTTTGTCGAACTAGTGAACTGACTTGGTTCTTCATGGGAAGAACGCCCACAGCAGTCCTGCCATGGAAGCACGCGCATTTTGTCCAAACGCTGAGCGGACGTAGGAACGTCGTTAGCAGGAATTGCCTCTGGCACCGTAGCCATGTCTGCATCCGATGGGGGATGGGCAGGCGGCCCCGCGTCAGAGCGCGTGGCCGGCATGGTCTTCGGTGGTGGGCCTGGGGGCAGCGGCGGCTCGTTCGGACTGGGCAGAGGCGCCGGCGTCGTCGCGGGTTCGGCTGCAGATGGCACTGCAGCGGGCCTCGCGGCCCGCGTTGGCTCGATCGCGGAGGGCGGTGCTTCGAGCGGCGGTGCCGGCGGTGCTCTCGGGGAGGCTGCCTGCGGAACGCGTGGCGGCTCTGGGGGCACCTCGACGCGGTCCAGAGCGGTCAGAGCGCGGTAGCCCTTGCACTTCTGGATGGTATCTGCATGGCCAAGTCGAGGCCCATCACGGTGAGAGGCCAGCAACGCACGCTCTTTGATGATGCAATCGGTGTTTGCCTTAGTGGCCTCCACTTGAGCTTCGATCTTGTCTACGAGCTGCTCGTAGACCACCCAGGTGAGCGCATGCGCATCGATGTAATAGAGGTTGGGCTTCGACAGTAGTGTCTTTCTTTCATCTGAATCGTAGCATGCCCAAATGCCCGGGTACGCGCCGATCAAAAGAATCAGGCTGTAGTAGAGCTCCTCGTAGGCCGGGCGGTATGGGTCATCATCTTGGTGTTGTGGTGCTGGTGAGGCTGATGGCGGCTCGCCTGGCGCCCCTGGGATGGGACGATGCTGCTGAGCACGATCATCAGCGGGTGTTGCCACCCGCGTGGATAGCGGTAAATTGCCGTTGGCACATGAAGCCATCCAAGCACAGTGGGCCATTTCTCCAGCGGCTCGATTCATCAACGTAGTGAAGCAATGGTATCGCTTCCACTCACCCGTCATGTTGTTGCGGAAGACAAGAGCCGCTGATATTTCCTTGGCCTGGGCGTATGCTTGGGAATCCGTCACGGCCTTCAGTAGTGGCGGCCGAAACGGATATGGCTGAGAAGGCAATGATTGAATAACGGCGCAGAAATTGCGGTAGCACACGGCGTCGATACACTGAGTGGTCATCATCGCCATGTTGTGGCTGTTCATTTTGGAATGCCATGCCGTAGGAGATGTCTTGCCGCACTCGATCCATTGATCTGCAGGGAGAACAACGATGCCTCTAGCCTTCATGTGACGTGTGAGGTCACATGTCAGGTAATCGAAGTTGGGATGCAAGTCCCATTGCTTAGATAAACCTGGGCCCACTACTGTAGGGCATCGAAAGTACTGCATCACGTCAATGAACCGTGACACATCAACCTTCACGTGTAGAGGCATGTGCTCTGGAACGCCATGATCGCACTTGATGTGGTTGTTCTCGGGGCGTCCAGTCTTGTTTGGAGCACGAGCAGCATGGCGCCGTACGTCTAACCACTGTTGGTTGTTGCTGGCGCAGCCGATATCATTGGCACTCCAAACAACGAAAGCATGGAGGCCTCTGCAATAGTGCCGTTGCTTTACACATGCAGGGAACGCTGTGCTCCAAGTTTCCGAAATCTGCTCATTGACCTTGCGCCATTCTGCCACAGAAGCATTATCATTGCAGTGCAGTAAGGCTTGCGCCTGACGAATCGTACCGATCACCATGCGCTGTTCGACCGTGGGAGCGGTCTGCAACTGTAGAACTTGTGCGATACGCTTTTCCTGCACCGCAGCAGCACGTGCACGAAGGGTTTGCATATCGCAGCGGGTGTCGCCACCGGCTTCTGGCAATAAGATCATGTCCTGGCCGACGGGTGTGTCATTCTGCTTGAAGAACTCAGTGTAATTCTCGTGCGAGGACGCCCACATCATGATGTCATCGCGGATCATAGCTGCCAAATGCTCGAGCGTGGCGCCTCCCAGGTCCCCTGCCTTGTTGAGACATGGCATAAAGAGTGAGTGGCACAAGGCCGACATTGGAACCTTCCGCAAGCTCACCGCGTCGGGTCGGGCTGTTGAGCCCATCAATGCAGTGCCCTGGGTAACGCTTGTAGTCCTCGGCCTTCGCACCCTTCTTGTTGTGCATAATCCATGTGGAACCCGTGTAGGAAATTAGTCCATTTGTGCGCATGGCCTGTAGGTCCAAAAGCACGAATGAGGAGCATTCCCAAGTCCTCTTGCATCATGCCCATCCATCCTCGCTCGGAGAGAAGGGCTGTGACCAATCGACCACCACAGAACGCACTGTATTTCGCTTGGGGTAATTCCAATGGATCCAACATGGATCCTGGAGTAGCGCCAGGCTCGTCTCCTTCCGGGAACTCGGATGAGTGAACGCCGCCCTCTTCATAGGGCTGCCATTGCTGCCTACCGAGGTGCGGGAGAAGTTTCCAGCCGCCAAGGTGATCAGAGGGTGTTGCCACCGTCTGGGGACTCGAACCAACCCCTCCCAAGCCGCCACGGTTCGTCAGCCAAGTAATGAGCTGTCGGGCGTATTTCTTGTTTTGCTGGAGGTCGCGAAAGGCTCGCATGTCGGTGACAAGATGGTCCTCCACAGTATGGCCTATGTGCCCTGCCACATCGGACGTCCTGGCCAAGGCAGGAGGCCGCGCTGGTAACTTGACTTGCTCTCGGTCAAGAGGATGCGCGTGATTCGGAGTCATTAATCCCTTCGCGTAGAGGCCTGGCGGCATGTAGTGGTCGCCCATATAGATCTCTGTCGTTTCTTTGACCGTATCCTGCGACCACTGGCCAAGCATAGCGCATCCAACCTTCGACCAACCATTATGCAGGATCTGCCACTCGGCATCCAGCATGTGCGTGGTGAGGTCCATTGGAGGGCACATTCGATAACCGCCCCGACCAGGGATTGCGGCGTTCAGATGGTCAGGCAAGTTGCGGATAGCTTCCTGAACAGCGGTGTTCTGCGTGAACAAACTTGACACCGTACACATGGCTTTCAGCATCGAAAGCCATGGAGTCGCCGTAACCGTGTTGTACTCACAGTAGGCGTTGCCGCCGACAGGCTCCATGCTGTTGCCGACCACACCAGTCACGTCCAGCGTGGCGGCGCGGGTGGTCTCGACGAGCGCGGAGTCGTCTGGCGCGCGCAATTGGTACTCGGCGCTGTTGTCCAGGCGGCGCTGATGAAGGAAGTGGTATCCTTCATCGCCTTCACGATTGCGGCCTGTCTGGAGCAGAAACGCAGGGCCCGCGCGATCATCGTCGTCGGCCTCGGGGCCCCAGCGGACGTCGCCGCCGACGGCCCAGCCGACAAGGTGGAGAGGTGGGGCCTGATGCATCTCAGAGGGGGGAAAGTCGGGGGCGGAACCGTTCCCCTTAACAGTAGGTGCGCGCGGTGCGAGCAATATGCTGGCAAGCGTAGTTGCTCGAGTCGTAAAACAGCTGCGGGGGCAACGTGATCGCACGACAAATGTCCTAGAGTGGGCGGGGCCAAGGGTGGACGAAGAGGACTGACTAGAGCGTCTACCGCGTGGCGAACGGGCCCGTGCACGAGGTTGGCGAGAGGCGCCAACCTCAGCAGGGACGCCGATATGGTAAATGCACGCATGTTGTCCCTCGTGCTCCTTTGGCCCCACGCACTGTTGTCCGCGTCGTGTGCCTGGCGCGCCCCGATGTTCACGGTCAGTGAGCAGTATCCCACAACCCTCTTCGCATCCATCAACCTTCGGAGGTTCGGCAATGTGCGGTAGACCGTCTGGCCTCTTGGGCCCTCTCAACGGTAGCCGAGGGTTCTTCGGAGGACACTGCATGGGGGCGAAGGGGAAGATGAGCGCTAGTTCCAATAAATCCCCCAGATATCTGCTTTCTTAGGCTCAAAATGTTCGGCCATCATGTCGGACATCTGTCCTTTAGTACCTGCGTACTTAAGCTCGACATGTTCAAATTGGCATGTTTCGCATATCCAATCCAAATTGATACGATGTGTACGATGAAGATGACGAGGTGCTGGTGTACGTCCTTTTTGGACAATCTTGATCACGGCCTGGTTGTCAAGGTGCACATTAGGTGAGCTGCTCGTAGGAGCCGGCTCTGGGTTCAGGTGTGACAGAATACCTTGGTGGGAAATCGTACGCCTCTTGGGAGTCGTAAGTGTCTCCGATTGCAGCGGGAGCTGCCTCCGGCTAGGAGAAGATCCCCTTGTAGGGGGCGCCTTGCGAGGCGGTGTCTTACGCCGCCATTTTTTGGCGGCCAGGGTTGGACACATCGTCGCAGCGACACGTCCCGAGCAACCTAGGCAGCTGGTCTTCTCTTTGCAAGTTCTGGCAACCTCCGCCACGGCCTCCCAAAAGGAAAGCAATGGAAGTCCCTCAAGTCGTAGTGCAGAGTCAAGAGCGACGATCTCGGACTCCGTGGAGGAGTGAGAAACGACCGTCTGTTTCTTGCACACGGCATTGACGGGGGAGAATGCATTTGGTCCAGCGAGCGCCGCGAAGACGCCTGTGGTGGACTTAGAGGAAGAAATGCAGTCGGCGAAGGAGGCATCAGTGAAGAGCATGATGGACAACTGGTCCTGAGTATCACCGATCCATCCATGTAGACAATGTGTACGAGTCGTCTTGAGGTAGCAGATGAGCCGATGGACGCGTTTGTCACACGTGGTGTTCCACTTGGTAATTTCTCTGGCTAACATGCACACCCGGTGCATTATATCAAAACGACAGCATCGTGCCAGGTAGAGAATCTTCATCAACACTCTCGCCGCGTCCTGGCCGAGAATGCCCTCGTCAGAGTAGTCAGACTCGGCAAAGGAAGTGCCCTCGACGCCGCGTGTCTCCGCGGCGGGAAGGTCGTCGTAAGTGACTGTCGTAGTTTGCGACATATCAATAGGTCCCTCGACCGACCCAGCTGGGCTGGACGATCGCGACCGAGCGCCGAGCACGCCAGTGGGTCTCGCGACCGACCCAGAGGAACCAGGCGATGTAGATCGAAGCCCTCGGGGAGTCGGGGCGTTTTCGGCGTGAGCCTGGCTTTTTGGTAAGCTTGGAGGCGCACTCAAGGTAGCGCTCTATACATTGATCGGTAAAGCCAAGCATATCATGTCGTATACCACGAACTTGCTTAGCTGCATGACAATCTTTCTCGCTGTGGTCGGGTAACGTTGGGCGAATGGTAGCCATCCGCTTGTCGAAGACGCTCTGCGGAACGTCGTAAGCCTGTTGTCCATACCAAAGGTATTGAGAGTACGGAGTAGGCGGATCGAGCTCAATGCCGCTCCAGCGGATCAGGTCCCAGCCGGCGTGGAGGTTGGCGGCGGGTCCTGCAAGCTTGAAGCCGTCCCCGTATACGGATAATATCAGGCCCAGTTTCTTGTGTCTCCACGCGCATTCCCAACCAGGGATGGGCTCGAAACCGACGCTCTCCAGGCACGCGCGACACTTGCGTTCCCAGAACACACCTGCCAAAAGGTGTCCGTAGAGTGCCAGGCGGAGTCGGCACACAGGGGTCCTGCGCTTAGCCCAGGAATCGGGCTAACGCCACTTGGGGGGCGTAATCAACCTATCGACCGGGTCAATCCGACCGTCTCCGTACAGTAAGGCCTGAGTGTACGCGCCTGGCGCGTCACTCTGTTCACCTCCGTAATTTGGCAATAACGCGGTGGCGTCACAAAGCTTAGAAGCCTCAATGTGCGACGCGCTGGACGCCGCGTCAGCGAAAGGCAGCTAAGCCAGTCTCGTCTTTGCCAGCGTTGCCCCGAACCACTACGCGGCCTTTGAACTCACGTAGTTCCGGAGAGAATTCTCCATGTATCACAGAAGAAAGCTCCAATATGTTGAAGAAGCGAACTTTCTTCCCAGTAAGAATTGCCTCGGCCTCAACGTCTTCTTCTTCAGTAGCAGTTTCTATCATCCGTGCGTGGGGCCTCTTGTGCTCGTGGCTCAGCAGCAACTTCGCGTTTGTTCAGATTTCGAGTAACAAGGGCAGGGCGTGCCCATGATGACGTAGGTAGCTTGCCTCTCTCTGTGCCTGTGCGTAGTCGGGTCCACGTGGCATAGTGGGCATTGCTACCGACGGGGTGAACTTGCGGTTGAGCGGGTTCACACGCCCGAAATCGTAGCCCTCACTGTCGATCAATACCAGAGAACGTGCAACTCCGGCAGGCGATGTTGAGGGTTGGCGGTAGTATAATACGGTGGTAATATCGCGTGGCCCACCAGGAATTCTGGCATACAAGATCCCCTTGTTTATCACCCCCTTGACGTCCTCGTCTCGAAGCACAGCTCCGCTGTCCATATCATAGGTAATACGGCGTTCCACGGTATTCCATGTAGGTCCACCAGCCGTTGTGGTGCGAAAGGGTTTAGCTTGTTGGTCCTGTCGTGTCCACACCCGAAGAGCAGCCCGCTCGCGTGTCTCGCGGGCTCGTTTGATGTCTTCTGCGTAGTCAATTTCTCTCTTCTGTTGGCCTCGGGACAAAGTCTTCCAAAGGTCGGGAAGGATGTGGTCTGGGCGCGTAGTAGCCTGAACGCGTGTCTCACGACCGCAGACCACCATCTTGCCGTCTGGCAACATCTTGGGGAGCCCGTAGAACCGAACTAGGCCGGTCCATGGCTCACTAAGTTCACGGTGGTCTGCGGCACTAAGACAGCCCCAAGCGTCTCGAAAGACACTTTCGCCCTCGAAGGTAGAAGTCGTCTCGAAATCCCGTGTGACATCGAGCTGATCGACGGGAACAGGAATGTTAATCACGTCGTCAGTCGGTCGGAATAGCTTCTTTCGCGGGGTGCGGATATGCCAGATGATGCAGTAGCCACGCTGCTCCCAATAATCAGGCTCTGGCGCTGGTGCAGCGACATCGGGGGCCGATGGATGGGAAGCAGCAGGACTGGCGTCTGGCGGTATTAGAGAGGGGTCATCCCACTCTGTCGGGTAGGTGAGCGGTAGGTCAGGCAGAGGTGTGTCGCCCAGGGGACGGGACGTAGCTGCCTTGACCTCGTCCTGTGCCTCAGGGTTGTGGTGTCGTAAGGTACCGTCTTTCACAGGGAAGGTGAACTTACCGTCCGGGATGATGATGTCCTTGGCTCTGTGCACGTGGCACAGGTCGCCGTCAGGGCGTTTGGCGCATGTAGCCGTGTCCAAGACGAGATAATCTCCAGACCAACGTCCACCTGAGTGTAGATGGTAACCCATGAATAACCCTTCCCGAGCATTTTCTTCAAACTTCGCCGTCTCGTTGTTGATCTCGGGATTGAGGAATTTCCAGAAGACCGAAAGGTATGCAGTGCCCGGGGAAACTTTCCCCAAATCGGATTTCGCGCGCTGTCTTATCTGCGCGCTCATCGCTGAGGGCAGCAACGCCAGCGGATACATGCACAAAAATTGTGTCCACAGCAGAAGGCCTGCATGGCCTCCTTCAGCCACTCGTGTCCCAGCCCAGACATGTGTAACACAGCTCGAGTACCCAGGATGACGATCTTGACAATGCGTTCGATCAGTCCATTCGTCTGTGGACGATGAGAAGTACTAGCGTCATGTCGCCATCCCAGCTGGCGGCGCGCTTGCAGAAGCTCGCCGGAGTTATCTGTGTAGATACTCTTCACTTCGTCGTTTGCGGCGATGAACTGCTGAAAGAATGCCTTCGTTGTAGCTGCGTCTTTGTGTACGGCTGGATATGCCGCGATGATGCCGGTGTATCTGTCGAGGACGACGAGTGCGTACTTGTCGCCATGTTTGTCAGCGGCATCGTCTTTGGCCAAGACAATGCGGTCGGCTGTCAGCGTCTCCCCGAACTTTTTCGGTACGAAAGCCTCGTAGGCAATGTCCTCGTCCGTGGGGGCTGCCGGTGGATGCGGCTTATGCTGTCGTCTGCACGGGGCGTTTTGCGCCATGGTGCGAGAGCAGACCTCGCAGTCGGGGTGTTTAGGGCTGTGGGTCATGCAGTGCATAGGATCGATGGACTTCTTTTGACGGTTCGGAAGAACACGGTCACCATCGGAGCGGGACTTGACAGGAGTCGCCACCGGCAGATCCTCTATGTATGACGACGTGGTGTCGATCGGAGCTGCCCGAACTGTGCCTGGGGTATCCCCGCAGGTGCTTGTAGGCCCCCCGCATGGGTGAGATGAACACTGCTGCTGAACTGTAAACGAGTCACCGTGCGAAACTTTGACTTGTCTCTTGGGGCAGTTCTCGCGGCGGTGGGAACTGCGCTGGCTCCTTGCAGCACCAACATGTGTCAAGGCAGCGTGAAGGAGAACGCTTGCGCCTGCGACGTCGTGGCGCTGTGGAAGTGCACAATCGTGGTGGTCGTATCTTTACAAGATCGTCGAGGCGTAGTTCTGAAACTCGGTTGTTGACGGGAACCTTGCACCACTGGCCCCCCGGATCCTGGAGCAGGGAGCCCAGGTCGGGGTCCCAAAGTTGCCGAAATCCATCAACCTCAAGTAATTGTCCCACTGATAGCAACGAAGGACAATCAGGCAGGGCAAGAGCTGAATTCCGTAAGCCTACCTCTGGTAGTTGGATGTCGTAGTGCTCGTTGACAGTGCGGTCACCGTTGGCAGTTTCCAGAATATGTTCCTCGCGGATAGAAATGCGATCAGATTCGGTCTGCGTAAGCTCATTCTTGTCCTGGATGTGGTGCGCAGATCCACTGTCGAGAACCCAGGAGCGGGTCAGGGCGGCTGTCGATCGTGGAGGGTCGACAGTCGATGTCGCCACCGACTCCTGGACAGTCTCAGGTGACTCCGTAGTAAAGTCAAGAGAACCTGGAATCGCAGTGGGTGTTGCCACCGGCACTAGAGCGTGTTGATATGCCTGCAGGTCCTTATACCATAATTGAGCTTCCCGTTGGCAACATTGAAAAGCTTGAGCACTCTGTCTCCGCCACCACTGTGGGATCGGATCTGGTATGTTGACAATGCCGCCTTCGTTCGCCTTGTTGATCCACTTGTCGAGTGGCCTTGCCGGAGACGGTATACGGGAAGTATTCCACGTTGTCTGTGTCGAAACGTATCCGACGTCGTGGTGTGGTAAATGCATTCGTGGCCTTGTGTAAGGCCATGAGGGTCTTGTCACGGACGACGCAACTGCGGTCGTAGCGGCGCGGGCGGCGACCAATAGCAGGAGAACGTGCGCGATGCCGAGGAGAGCCACGAGATGAACTGCGGCTCATGGAGCGTCGGACACGTCCTCTGTCGCTGCCTGATGATCTGTCGCGGCCACGTGGGCTGCCGCGTCTTTCGCCACGTCCGTCTCTGCCTCGGGAAGATGATCGCGATGATCTATCGCATCGGCCTCTCGACTGGCTTCGAGAGTCTGTACATTTCCGGGAGGATGATCGAGAGCGGTCGTGTTGGCGTTTGTGGTCACGTCGGTTATACGAGCCCCCCGCATTCCGAAACCCACCGCGTTGTGGAGAGCGTCTGCTCCCAGATCCGCGGGATGGTGGTCGGCCGCGGCTGTCCTGACTGGGATCCCGCGGTCGGCTGGGGCTCCTTTCAGGTGTCTTCGTACCAGCAGCGAGGTGGGCATATTAGCACTTGTCACCCTTGTGACACTTATTCTGGACGAAGTAACTACACTGCGCCATGTGCGGGAAGTTGCACTTGTCACCACGCGCGCAGGAACTGCGCTTGGCGAATTCGAAGCAGAAGGGCTTCGTTCCTGGCTTGTTTTTGGAACTCGCAGGGGCCGACACGCTGCGGCGGGCGTGGCCGCCGGCGTTCGAAGAACGGGAAGATCTGCCGTCTCTGCCTTCCCTGGAGTATGTATGCAAAGCCTTGCAACGATCCCCATTCCGACAGTTGCCTTTGTTCCATGCGGCGCAGATGTTCACCTGAGAACGGTTCTCATACTCGTACCGTAGCTTGTTCTGATTCTTCTCGAGGTGTTTCATTTCCAGAACATCGAGAACTCGTTGACGAAGCCAGTCGTAGGTACGATGAGGGTCACTTATCTTCATTTTCTGATATTCGTACATATCCTGTTTCATCCAAGCGTGCCTGCGAATCTGAGTCCGGAGTAAAGATTCGAAGATCTTGGAGTCGGGTGCCTCTCGGCAATCCAACAATAAAGCGTCCCATTCAGCAATGAATCATTGCAGATCTTCGTCTCTCACCCTCAACTCCTTGAGGCGCTCAAAATCGTGAAGGTCATCGTCAACCTCGGTCACCTCGTAGGACTGTAGGATGTACCAGTATATCTGGCGACCTTGCAACATTCGTCCAGCTTTGCGTTCCCTGGCCTCGTTGAACTTGATCTTGAAGCGCAAGTCAGAGGACAAGATGTCACTGAGAGCAGTTGCGAGCTTGCAGTCGACGCCCTCAAAGTCGCCGCTGTCTTGCAAGTCTTCATAGGTACATTCGGGTTGTTCGGCGACGCAGAGGAAGGCGCATGCTTTTGAGGGTCGCCCTGAAGCATCACAGAAGTTCTTCCGAACCTTCTGCTGCCACTCGAGCAGCTGAGTGATTTTAGGCAAGACAGGGGCTCGTACGGTGTCGGACTCCTTGATCGGAGTAGTATTGTTAACCGAAACTGCAGACAGTGGTTGTGAGGGCATCGGCACACCGTCATTGGTTGGTTCTGTGCGCACTGGGGACACATGGCGTGTCTGAGCAGAAGCTGCCGCTGAGGCTGCTTCTGGTGACGTGCGTCTTGGTTGTCCGACAGAAGCGCGTGGTGCTTCAGCGGACGTTGCCGTCGGCCTGTCAAGGCCTGGCGATGCCTGAGGGTGAAGTGTCGTGTCGCTGGTGTGGTCGATCAGTGGATTCGTCCAGTTCGTCATGTCCTCGTGAATTTGGTCAACTTGTTGGCGTATAGATCGTGCTTCGACGAAGTGATCTCCTCGTCAGCGTCCCGAGAGCGTTGGGAATACCGATCAAGTCTCTGCTCGCATGCTCGGAGACGGACGTTGTGCGCCTCCATTTCACTTTCCAGACGTGTGAGACACTCCTCAACACGTACCTTTTCACGTGGTCCGCCGCCGTCCTAACTTCCTGCAACCTGTCAGCGGAGGGGGCGAAATCGTAAACCGTAGGAGGAGATCCCAGCTGGCCAGTCTGGGCTCGTCCAACACGCAACTCTGCCAGGGCGTCCTGTACTCCAGGTAAACGCTGCTCGATTACAGAGATCCGGTCAGTGAGGGGCTGCACAACAGCGTTGGTCGCATCAAGCCGTTGACCGATGACTCTTTCAGTATTCTGCAACATGCCGATCAGGGTCGACAAGTTGGTACTTGCTTCGGCACGAAGCGTAGCCGTAGTGTGTTCCACATGTGATCGAATATCATTGATTTGGGACTGAACGTCGCCGAGGTCGTGTGTCTCGGTCGGAGAGGGTCGATTGCGCAGCTGATCACGGATCTCGTCATGCAAGATCCTGACAGCAGAAACGCCTGTGTCGCGGACGACAACAAGCTGCTGCTCCATCTGCGCGAGGTAGTTGCGCAGGTGCTCGACCGTCGCGGACCGTTCACCTGAGTGTGACACTTCGCGGTCAACCTGAAACTGCAGCTCTCCTAGGATACGGCGATCTTCGGCGATCCTGGAATCTATGATCGCTAAGGCGCCGTCGAATTCTTGCCGAAGGGCAGCAGTGCGTGCGGCGTTCGTCTGAACGCTCTGCACCAGTCCAGAGTACTGCCTGGACACGAAGGTTCCAGGCTGGTCTCGCAGCTCAGCAAGCTCCCCTGCAGCGGGTGTAGCCGCCGGCAGGTCGTCTGAAAGGAAGAGGTGAGGGGCGTCTGCCCCCTGATGCACCCTCTCGGGAGGAGTGCGTGGCCTCTGAGAGGCCGCGCGCGGGCTCGACCTGTGCTCGTCGTAGGGGCCTGCGGCCTCGCGACGGTTGCGCATGGACGAGCTGCGGCCAGGGCCGTGCGTGTGCGGTGTCGGATGAGATGATGATACCTTGGGATGCTGCGTCTGCGGCTGTGCCGCCACAGGTCTGCCAAGCTCCTCGAAAGCTGCCGCGTGCGCCGACGCGGGGGCGGTGGCAGGGCTGGCTGGGCCAGCGCCACTGTTCCAACAGCGGTTTGCGCGGAAGCGCCCAGGAGTATCGGGGCCAGTGGGGCTTGCGCCCGACGCAGTAGGGATTGCTCCCGACGTGGGAAGAGGAGAGGGAGGATCGAAGGTAGGCGCGTGAACTCCTCCAACGCCTGCTCCCGCTCCTTCTCCGGCCCCCCCGTGGGCGGCGTGGCGGCGAAGTTCAGCCACAAGACGCGCCTCGGGTCCGTCGGAGCTGGGGGGGGGGGTATCTGGGACACCCACACGGTCACCTCCAAGGCTCTCCGACCCATCACCGAGCCGACGCGCCGTTGGAGAGCTCGGACGCGGAGACGCGAAGGATCCCTTACGGCGCATGCGCCGCGGGGGGCCCATCGGGGCCGCGAGCGAGATCGCGACGCAGGGTTCGGTGAATGGTGAGCTTTAAGGGCTGATAACCTGTGTATGGGGTTAGAGCACAAAGGTGCGGAGACCCTGATCCGTAGGTAAAGGAAGGAGGGAAAGATCGGGATCTGTTCCTCCTGTGCGACCAGCGTCCTGGTCTGTTCCAGTACCTGAGCCGATAAGGCGAGCAAACAAGCGAGTGGGGAGTTGAGATGAGGGTATGAGGCGGGTTCCTTTCACAGCACCCGATACCCTGGCATGAGCCTCCACGAGGGGGCGCCCCCCGGATTGAGCTCAGAGGAAATCCACCGAAACCTGAACTGGATCCCCGTCGCAATCGAGATCGCACACACCTCTCGACAGACCCAGTTGAGGGCAAAGTGCGCGGCTCTCCCTTCTTCGCACGCAGATGCCACCCCGAGGTTGTCCCCCAGGACGAGATGCCGTAGCCCATGCAGCTGAGCATCCCGAACTAAGCGGCGCACGGCCCAGCGCGCCCCCTCAGCCTCGAGGACGTGGATGGCTGCGGCGCGGCGCCAGCGCCGCGCAGCCACTGCCGCCCAGGGCTCAGCCAGGAGCCGCCCCGCCGGGGCCTCTTCGAAGTGCGCGAGGGCGCCCTCCGCCACCACGTCCGCCGAGGAGGCGCGCAGGAGCTGCTGCTCGCCCGGCGTGTCCCGGGGGCCGCAGTCCGCCGTCAGGGCCCCCCGGAAGCGGCTGCGTTCCGAGAGGCCGCCAACTCGTCGCACGTCACCGACGGGCCACGATTGCTCCGCGACGCCGAACCCCCGCGGCGAGGCGTCGGCGGCCGTGACCCGGTCGCACCAGGGGCGACTCAGCAGGGCGGTCACGCATGGAAGAAGTGCTCTGAACCAAGCGAGCTCCCGCTTCACTGAGGCCCACAAGGGGGAGAGCATTGGCCTCTGCAGCATCACAGCGGAGGCGATGTGACCCATGAGCCTCTCGAGCTCGCGCCCCGTGACGAGGTGTCCGGGCGCGAGCACAAAATCGAAACTGAACTTCAGTCGCCAGAACTTGCTCCGTGACAGCAGCCAGGTGGCAGAGGGCTTGTGCAGCACATGCCCGAGCAGGGTGTGAAGGCCCCCGTCGTCGCTGTCAAAGGAGGCCTGGATCCCCCGCTCGCCTAAGGCGGCCAGCATGTGCTCCACCTCCAGGACAGGCTCGCCACTGCCGACGTAAAACAGGCAACGTTGTCGATGTACAGCACCTTGGCCGCGGAGCGCTGCGCGCCGAGTGCCGGGGTGGGCGCCTTGTCGGCGATCCGCGGCGACTCCGGGCTGACGCCGCCCAGGATGTGGGAGTGGGCCTCTTGGATAAGGTGCGCTGCCCGCGACCAGCCCATAGGGGCCACCCTGGCAACGAAGTGGGCCATCTCGGACAGGTCCGCGATGCCCAGAAGCTGGCGAGCCTCTGGCTGGAGAAAACGCGCCTGAACAGCAGGTAGCCCAAAAAAGAGACGAGCCCAAGGCGGCAACTCGCACTGGCAGTAGCAGCAGTCAACGTCGGCGGAGGCCACCGCGACCCCCTTAGAGGCGTCCACCTCCAGGTTGGCCAGCGCCCCCCCGCTCGACAGGAGCGTGTGCGGCGACTCCTGGAAGTGCGCGTTCGACCTCCTGGTGTCAAAAATCAACCGCAAAGAAGAGCCCTTCTTCGGTACGGAGAAGTTGCCAGCGCGCTCGACGATGCTGCCCTCGCCCACGCGCTCGAGGATGCCCGCGGCGAGCAGCTCGGAAAGGCACTCGCCGTAGTGGTAGCCGTGCCTCGGCAGCACAGGGCCCATAGCGCAGACCCGAGGGGCCGCGCCCAAAGCAAAATTGCGAGCCTCCGGCTCTCGTAAGATCTGCGAAGATCCGAATCTGACAGGACAGTCTGAAGGTGCAGGGCAGGGGGAGCACGTCACTGAGCCGCGCGCGCCCGGCCGCAGCCCGCGGGGGCGCCATTGCCCCCTTCCTGTAGGTCGTCGTTGCGCCGTCGGCCATGACATCTGCAAAGCCGCTCCGCGAAGCCTGGGGCGTCTGCCGCGCCCCCAGGGGGATCAGGTCGGATGGCGGCTGCTCCAATCTGCCGCGCAGCCGCGCGAGATGTCGCACCGCCGCGGCCCGACAGGCCGACGGCTGGAGGCCCAGCCGGCGCGTCAGCGCCGCGACCGCCCAGGTCGTTGAGGGCGGCAATGCCCTCGCGCAGCCGAGCCTCCTGCCGTCGACGAAGTCGTCCACGCAGTCCGCCGCCGCGCGGCAGCAGGCGGGCTGCCGCGCCGCGCAGCAGCTCGTCGAGCGACTCGCCCGCAGGGAGGGGCAGAAGGTCGCGCGCCAGGGCCGAGCCCGTGACCCCTTGGGCCGAGGCCGCCATCGCCACCGCAGTGGCGGCCCTCCCCTGAAGTAGCGCCCGCTGCCCGGGGGGCTGCAGCGGTCGCGCGCAAGCCGAGGAGTGGTGGCGGGCTAGCCCCGCCCGCGGCCGCGGGCGCCGCGATCGCGCCCTCGGCCTGTGGGCCCGGGCCAGCACCGCCGCCAGCGCCGCCGCCGCCTCCGCCTGGGTCGCCGAGGCCAGCGTCGGCTGCGCTGCTGCTCTCGCCACGCGCCATGCGGCGTTCCTCCCTGCCCTTGCGCCGCCCCTTGAGGATGGCGCTCTCCTCCTGCATCTTCGCCGCCGCGTTTCTCTCCAAAGTCGGAGCCACGAGGGCGCGCTCCTTCGAGCGCGTGCCTCCTAAGAAGAGGCGGCGCTCGTCCAACCAGCCGTCGGCGTCGGCCGCGGTGCCAGCGGTGCCCGAAACCTCGGCCTGTCGCAAGGCCTCGGAGTACACCTCCTCCCAGAGCTGGAAGCGCCTGGCCGCCAGCTCGAACGTCTCGCACCCCGGCAGGTTGAGCTGGTCGGCCGTAACTGCGGCCTCCAGGAGCTTGCACAGGAACAGATGTTCATCGACTCCGGGGTCGGCTGCTGCCAACCCCAGGATCCGTCTCCACCAGTAGTGGCGCTGGATCCGGGCCCGCCACCCTGCTCCAGGTGAGCCTGAAGCAGCCAGCCGACGGTGGCGGGCCCCTCGCTGCGCTGCTGCTCGGCCACCACCTCCGCGAAGGCCCGGCGCCGCTGCCCGGCGCTGCTCCGTCGGCGCTGCAAGATGCGCTCGTCCAGCACGGTATCCGGCTCCGCTCTTGGTGAGGCAGGCGCCTCGTCGAGGGCCCCCGCGCGCGCGAGCGCGATGACCCGCTCAGGCTCCAGCGGCCCTGTTGGCGCTTCCGGGGAGCCGTTTGGAGGTGCGTGGAACCTTCACGGGCTATGTCTTAGGGTCTGATTGGGCCTTCTTGAGGCCCGCCTGGGCCGAACTGCGGCCCACTTCGGCCCTCCCCCTCCTTGCGCACAAACCGGAGCTGCCTGACTCGACAGTGGCTTGCAAATAAGCTGTGGCAAGCGGTCCCGCGGAAGGAAAAGCAAGGGGTCGGCGGGTGCGGCGCAAGTCAAGAGAACTGGAAGCAGGTCGCGGAGCGGAGCGGAAGCCCTAATGCAACGTATCCCATGTATCCAATGATTGCGTAATTGCTACATGTTGCATTGCGTTGCATTGTTATCTCTCCCCCCCACCCCCCCCCCGGAGTCGCGCCACTTCCGTCGACCCAAAGGTGGAGGGCCCCTTGTGGCCTAAAAACAAGCAACAACCAATGGAAAATCAATGATTTCGGCTCCTTGGGCCTCCTGGGGGTCCAAGAGGGCGCGAAGACGGCTCAAGATGGTCTCAAGACGGCCCAAGATGGCCCCAAGAGGGCCCATGAGGCCCACAAGAACTCGAAGAGGCCCCCAAGAGGACTCCCGAGAGCGCCTCCGGATGCCAAAATCTTGCATGTCCGATTGTTCTGTGACATGTTCAACTTTCTCGCTTTTTTTCGGCTCTCAAGAGGCCATGGCGGCCCAAGCAGCCTCGAAGAAGGCCCCCAAACTGCCCAAGAGGCCTCCAAGGGGGTCCCAAGACGGCCCAAGAGGGCCCCGAGACGGCCAAAAAAGCCTCCGATACGGCCCAGGAAGCCCCCAAGACGGCCCCAGAGGACCCCGAGAGAGCCCCACGGCGGCCGCGAGAGGCGCCCAAAGTGGCCTCCGAAGTGGCCAGACGGCGCAAGAGCGCCCAAAGACGGCTCCAATACGTCCCCAAGAGGCCCCCAGAGGCTCCAAAGAAGGCCCCAAACGGCCCAGGAGGGCCCCAAGACGGCTCAAAGAGGCCCCCAAGGCGGCCCCAAAAACACCCTGAGACTGCCCAAGAAGACCCCGAGAGAACCCCAAGGCGGCCGCGAGAGGCCCCCAAGACGGCCTCCGAAGGGGCAGAACGGCGCAAAAAAAAAACGCCCCAAGACGGCCCAAGATGCCCCAAAGAGGCCCCGAGAAGCCGGCCCCTAAGGAAGGCCTCCAAGAAAGCCCCAAGAAGCCTCCAAGCGGCCTCAAAGAAGCCCCCACAAGGCCACGCAACGACTGGGGCGCAATGTTATTTCCCCCCCTGGGCGAACGACGGCGCATCGCCAGCCAGGTGGAAGTTGGCCGCGGCGGCGCCCATGATTAGAGCCAGCGCTGGAAGGGAAGATGGGGCAGGGGCATGAAAAGGACGGGGGGGCGGGGCCCAAAGAAGCCCCCAAGACGCCCAAAGAAGCTCCCAAGAGGCCTCCAGGAGGCCCCCAGGAGGCTCCCAAGAGGCCCCGCGACGACGCGACTGCACGCGCTCCGGACGTGCACCCCGCGAAGCGAAAGGAATCCACGTCCAAAAGTGGCGTGTTGCCGGAGGCAGGTCGCGCAGCGGAGCGGAAGCATGTCTCCCCCCTACCCCCCCCGGAGTCGCGCCACTTCCGTCGACCCAAAGGTGGAGGGCCCCTTCGGGGCCTCAAAACCCACAACTTACATTCCCACCCCCCTGTCCCGAGAGGGGCAATGCGCATCTTGAGGCATCCAAACACGCGGGTACTTTGTCCGCGCCACGACCGCGGCACACGAACGCCCCCTGTCTCGGATACATCGTGCCAACCAGCGGCCCACCCAGAAAGCACTTGCAAAACGGACAACGCGGCCCTTCCCACCCGGTGAAGACCGGCCCCGCAGAGGGCGAGGGAGGGTGTCAGAAATGGGGGAAGCAGAAGAGCTGGAAATGTTTGGGCCCGAATGGTCACGGAGGAGGTCGAGTGAAGAGGGAGGCGCAACGTGCATTCATGAATCCCCTGGTCTGCTATCCCCTGATCCCCTGGCTTGCTACCCGCTTTCGCTGCGAGGGGCGAGATAGGATAATGGGGGAAGGAGGGGAAATACACGCGCAATCAATCCCCAACTCTGCTATGATCTTCCGTCGGCCTGCGACGATGCGCAGAGGCGGCTGCTGAATGACATTGTGCTACCGACCGATCTGCTCATGGCGTGTTATCGGTCGGTTCACACAACTTACATTCCCACCCCCCTGTCCCGAGAGGGACAATGCGCATCTTTGGGCATCCAAACGCACGGGTACTTTGTCCGCGCCACGACCGCGGCGCACGAAACCCCCAACGCCGCCTGCCCAACGCTGCTCATCTGCGATCCGGGGCCACGGGCCGTTTTCCAAGCAGCGCCTTGGCGACGCGCAGCCACGCGCAACGTGGCGCTGACGTCGCGGCGCCTGCTCTTTCGGGAAAATTGAATCCACGTGGCGCAGCACGTGGTCTCAGTGTCATACAAGCTCCCTTCAAGGGCCGTCCGGCTCCTCATCGCTGCTGGCATTGAGTAGTGACTCGAAGAACGCCCGATCATCCAGCTTCTGCGCGTCAACATAAGACAACGAGCTCATGCCGCGCCACTCGCCCGCCGACTGAAGTTGCTGCCAGCTCGCCCCGCTCTGCGCCAGCTCAGTTGCTTTCCCAGCCCGGAACGCCTTCAACGTGTACGAATGGGCATGGGGATACCCCAAAGCATTGAGCAAGTGGCGCAACTTATGTCTGAACTGCGAGGAAGTGCCCGCATATGTTCGACTACCATCTGCAGGCGCGAACTTGCCGCGCCAGGCCCGGTGCACGCACGCGACGCAACTCTGCCTGCCCACGCAGTCGCAACGGCACGATCTGCGGAGGACGGAACCACTCGGTCTGTGCTTCCGGCGGCGCAGGCGGATGATCAAGGTTTTTCCCTGAATCACGACCGCGGGGTGTCTGCCATGCGGGAGCTGCAACGCGTCCTCCGCCGTGCCCACCTGCAAATCGATGCCTTCCGATTGCACTCTCAACAGGAACTCCCAGCAGATAAAGGATAATACCAACCAGGGCTCCGAGACCAGCTCTGCAGCTACGCGACACATGTGACCCATTGTTTTTTGCGTCAACAACCACCTCTAGGGGAAAGTGCCCCCGTGGACACGTATTGACTGCTTGGCCAAGCCTTGAATCGGTTGGCGTACCTCCGCCTGGTCCCATGTCCAATGATAGAGACCACGTAAGGCACGCCCATCGAATGTGGCCAATTTAATTTTCCGCCGCGCCTGCGCAGCGAAAAATGGCAACGAACATGAGGACGTGAGCCGCGCTGGCTGGAGGTAGAATGTTATCGGCAGGGTACTTAAGAATTTCCGTTGCAAGCGCGTGCCAGCAACGCAGGCCACTCGCCACAGAGGCGAAGGACTTCCTGCGAGTCTCAAGCTGAAGCAGCCTTGCCCGCGCCATCAGCGGATCACGAGCATCGCTCCCGCTGTTCACCGCTGCCGCCATCGTTGAAATCGAAAGCCTGGGCGGCGCGTCGTGTAACTGCCCGCAACCTTGCTGAGCTAGCACGTGCTCCCAGTGATCTTCCGCATTTTTCATCCGCTGCTCTGCTAGACCATCTGCGACAGCGCTGGCCGACCTCTCTGACCGCGCCACCCGGGGCCCTGACAACGACGACGACGACGACGCCGTCTGGGCAGCATTCAACACATCTGGGCCCTGGTAACGGGCGACGACGTCGCCTTCCACAGTGCGTTCCACCGCTCCGCGACTCGTGGCTGCCAATGCAGCCCGGCGCAAGAGCGATTTTTCCATCGCCGTGGCGCCGAACATCTCAGCCTCCTCCGGCGTCGCAGAATCAAGCAGTTCCCAAGACAAAATGCGGTTGGATACCAAACGAGCCGCCACCCCGCGGATAACCGTGGCCTCCACGTCGCATGCCACCCCGTCAAGCCGCTGAAGCCAGACAGCGAAAGCCGTCACGCGCCGGAGAAAACTCACGCCATCCAGCCCCGCCAACGGTTTCCGAACTTGCGGCCCATGCGAACCGTGATTCACGACATCTGGAAACAATCTACTCCACTTGGTCACGCAAGCAGCGGCCAACGCGCGGCTAGTGGAGGGAAGGAACTCGATGAACGAACCATATTTCAGTGAATAAGGCAAACCTGATACAGAATCGCTTCCTTTGTCGGGCTTGTCTGGGTCAGCGCGCGCAGCGCCGCCTCAGTCGGGCCAGCGCGGCCCAAAGCAAACGGCTCAACTAACCGATCCCGCAGCCGGAGATACCTAGCACACGCGCTCTCCGTCATGGCCGAAGTGGCGCGCGCCTAAGACTCCGCATGGGGCTGCGCCGAGCCGTCGATTGAACCGCAAATGGCGACGGACAAGGGCTGTGAGAATAACGTGTTCTTGGGAGTGCCGTCCCATTGCTTCTGAGGACACTGGGTTGCCATCCGTGCTCTCTTCCCCCATCCCTTTTCCATTTGCAATTCACTCTACCGGAGCGCTCCCCAGCGGAATTGGCCAGGCAGAAATGAGCCGCACTTTGTCGTGGCCTGCCGGGGCCCTAACCCATCTGGGAACGAGGATTACGTGCCGGTACTCTCTTCTTCCATCCTCTCAACTCCATTTGCAATTCACTCTACCGGAGCGCTCCCCAGCGGAATTGGCCAGGCAGAAATGAGACACACTTTGTCGTGGCCTGCCGGGGCCCCAACCACCTGGGAACGACGATTACGCGCCGGAGGAGGAGGAAGAGGGATGAAAGACATATCCCCGCGTGCCGACGAGCGTGCATCAACGACAATTTGACGTTTCGGCTACGTGCGATTCGGGGCCACTCGTGTCCTCTTGAATTCGCAGCGGAACTGGCCAAGCATAAAATGAGCCACGCCTTGATGTGGCCTGCTGGGGCCCTAATCCACCAGTGAACGATCGGGGGGGGGGGAGAAACTGGGCGCCGGCCGTGAGCCGTTGACGCCATCCGCCCCCCCAAGTGCCGACACGAGCGATGTAGATTTTTGGGCCCCCCCTCCAAGGGCGACTCACACCCTCGTAACTCCCCAACGGCACGGGCCAGGCAGACAATCAGCCACACTTAGTTGTGGACTGCTGGGGCCTAAAGCGAGGACGAGCAGGAGGAGGATGAGGGGGAAGATGACCCAGGCCGTGGAGGATCGACGTCATCCATCTCCTCCTGTGTATCCCATTGCGCGCGCATGCGTTCGTGCGCGACGCGGGCGTCGTTGCGCGCGCGCACGCCAACCCAGCGCCAAGCCGTGAACGCGGCATCGTTAGCGTCCGACGTAACTGGTTCGATCTTCGGCAGTAGCTAACCTACTCATGCTTTTACACCACGAGACAGCGCGGCGGCATCCCTTTTTTTGGACGAGCCGGCGCGCCGAAACAATGGATGGGCCGGCACGGCCAGAATGCTGTCTGGGGCAAGCTCCGTCCCACAAGAAAGCGCGCGCGCTTCGGTTCTAATCTTTTGTGCCCGCCAGGCCATCAAATCGCGCCCCCTCCCCGGCGCCGGCCTCGCCCCCCCTCAGCACCCCGCGCCCGCGCGCGTCGAAGCCGCGGGAATCTTCGCGATGGCCGACGGGCCGTCTTGCGCCCGCGTCGACGACGCGAGGGGGGGGGGGGGGAGGAGGAGGGGGAGGACGACGACGACGACGACGACGACGACGAGGGGCTCTATGGGAGATCATCCTGCGGAGAGCGGAAGAACAATGGCATTGATTATGACAAGACAATGCGATACAGACAACGATGGCGATGACACCACGGGCCTTCTGAGCCCCGCGGTCGCCTCGGCGTTTCTCCCAGGGCGCGGGCCTGCCCAGACGTTCAGCGCCCACTCCGGCAGCTCCGGTGCGACGAAAGTTGCGCCAAGTTCGCGCATCAGCGAAGAGTCGCCTCGCGACGGCGCGTCTGCGACATTCGCCTTGCTCTCCACGCGCGCCGCGCACGGGCCGATCTGCTGCTCAGCACACAAGCTCCACAGACCGCCTACCAGAGACGCCACTTCGGGGGCTCTGGATGCACCGCGCGCGGTGGAAGCCCTAACACCATCGCTGTCATTGCGCGCCAGCACCAGCGCTCCGCGCAGAAGGTGCTAAAAGGAGTGCATGGAGAAGACAGGCGCTAGCATTTCCTGTCCTCCGATCTGGTGGTCCTCGCGGTAGAGGAACTGTGACAAGAGCCAGCCAGGCGCCACCGTGGGGGTGTACCAAAAGGACGTTCCGATCCTCAATGCGCCAGAAAGGCCACGGCTGACGCCAGCAGCGTCCGTCCACAGAACTGCAGATGTCCGCGAGGCTGGGGTGGTGCCGCGCACCGCTGGCGGCCGCACTCGTAAGTACGTGAGCCACCACGCGGCAGCGCGGCGAAAGCGCCGACTTATTCAGAAATCTGGCAGCGGGTCATGCTGCTGGGCATGGAAAGGCGCGATGTCCGCCCTGCCCACTTTATCAGCAGCAGTGCGGCACGTGAAACTCAGCCGGCCAGCCATCCTGCTGCTTTCAGACAGCGTGCAACGATTGCTTGCAAGGATCTGTTCAACAACCAAAGACCACTTGCGCGCTTTAGCCTCGTCGATTTGCACGCGCACTCTCCCCGCCGTGGGATCAGGAGTGACCAAGACGCCCAAAAAAAGGCCATCGACTCAACGAATTCGACGCTCTTGGCAGGGTCCAGAGGCAATCCAAATATTGGAGAGAGCGTGATCCACCGCCGCTTTACTGTGGAAAATTGCCAACCTGTTCCTCCGGAACCCGGGGGTTCCCCCACCCCCGCCCCTCGAAATCCCCCCCCCCCTCCCCCTCCGGAACCCCTCCCCCCCCCCCCCCTCCCTCTCGGCAACACCCCCCCCCCCTCCCCCACCCCCCCCCCCCCGCCCCCTCGGAAAACCGAGGGAGGGAGGGGGGCTTGGGTCACTATACCGTTTCGAGCCCCCCCCCCCTTCCGGATCGAAAACCGAAGGGGGTCACATGCCGGTTGGACCCCCCCCCCCCCCAACAAAACCGAGAGGGGTCACTACCGGTTCGACCCCCCCCCCCCCCCACGCACCGCGAGCAAGCGAACTCCCTGGGGCCTCCTAATCCACCGCTCGCAGTCACACCCCCACTGTTGTTCCAGCACCACTGTCCCTCACCACCACCTGTCCCCGCGGTTTCACCACCGCCCCTACTGTCCCCCCAATGACCCCACCACTGTCGCACTGTCCCACTGTTCCCACAACTGTTCCCACCACGGCTCCACTCTCCCCACTGTCTCCACGGACCCAACCACTGCCTATCCCCACTGTCCCCACTGTCCCACTGACTCCGCCGCTGCCCCACTGAGCTGCCCCACTGTTTCCACCACTGTCCCCACTGCCCCCACCACTGTCCCCGCTGTACCTCTGTCCCATTGTCCCACCGCCGTCCTCACCACCGCCTTCACCAGTGCCCCCACCACCATTGCACCCTCCACTGTCCCAGCGTTTCCACCTCATTCCCACTGTCCCCACGCCACTTTCCCCACCACCACCGTTCCCACCACTGTCCTCTGTCCCCCCTGTTCCCACCATTGTCCCCACCACTGTCCCCGCCACTACCGTCCCCACCACTGTCCCACTGTCCCCCCACTGCCCCCACCACTGCCCCGCTGCCCCCTCACCACTGTCCCCGCCAACACCGCCCCCGCCACTGTCCGCGCCCCCACTCGGTTTTCGAAGGGGGGGGGTTCGAACCGGCAGTGACCCCCCCCCATGCTGGGAACAACAGTGGGGGATGTGATGCGAGCGGTGGTAGGGGCCGGGAGTCGTTTGCTCGCGGTGCGTGGGGGGGGGGGGGGGGGTTCGAACCGGTAGTGACCCCCCCGTTTTTTCCGCACAGCGGTAGAACCACGCTCTGTCAATATTTGACATCATCACGGCGTCGTGCTAACAGCTGCACCCGTCAACTGGACAGTCCACTGCGTCAGCGCCGAAGATGTCAACTACGTAGCGGCCCGCGGCGATGCGCAGCAGTGTTCTCATGGCCGCCATGACAGTGTTTGAGCCGCGATGCCAACTGGCCCCGGCACTCGTCGGGCCGAACGGCATTCCCACGTGGCGAGAGAACCACGGCTGGCCATTGCACGCCCACACTGAGCCAGCGAGGTCACTGTGAGAGCCCCGAATCGGAAAGCGCCTGAAAGCTCGTTTCACATCGCGCTTCCAACTCTTGAAAGGAACCTGTCGACGGATAAATGAACGCATGATCTCGACCATGAGGTCAACGGTGTCATGGCGAGTTGCGTCGCCCATCCCTGTGGCCAGGTTGACCGCGCTTTCCGTGCCATGGTCGGCCACCCTTGTCTTCCACTCTCCATTCCGCTCCTCTCGCACGGGAATTCTCCTGGTGAGAAGATAATCCCGGGCGTGAGACGGCAAAAGTGGCTCAGATGGCGTCATTGCTCCAATATCGACGTCTTCCTGGACCTCTGCCATGATATCTTCCGCGTGCGGTAAATCCCTGAGCGCAGCCGGAGTCTGCTGGTTTATCTCGTGCTTGTGCGAACGCAGAATATCAATTGACACGTGGTGCTGCGGCCTGGACAGCGGCTTGGAGCTATAATATGCCTTCGGGAATATGCCCGCGTACGCTAATCCATGGTCAAGGTCGCGCGCCAAAGCCTCATCGGGCCCCTTCAGATACGATACAAAGAACTTGAAAAGCGGGCCGTGCAACGGCTGCACCACTTTCTGCATGTCGCCCCGGCGCGACGAAGACCACTGCGCTCGCTCCGGCTGCAGGTCCACCGCGAGCTTCAAAAGCCATCGCAGAGTATCCCAGCGGTGCGCGCCCAGCGTCTCCGGCGAGCGCGTCGCCACGTTTTGCATTGCAGCCCGAAGATCATCATCCATGCTCGGCTCTGCCGTCGCGAAAGGGTGTGTGACGGTTGCGGCGAATTGGATATGCTCCTTCGGAGACAACCCCTTTGGCGCGCCTAAGCCTTCTGGCACGGACGGTCGGTTGCCCGACGTCCGACGCATCCAGCCCGTCACAGACCATGTCGCCATCGTCGTCGGTTTGGCACCGCATCTGGCGAAGCATGGAGACTGGGACGCTGACAGCCTCACCACCCAGCCTCCCAGGGTCTGCTCGAAAATCTGGCTGTGTCCACAGGTCCCACACCAACTGTATAAAGACGGTCAAATCGCAATATGGCAATTGCACCTGTGGTAACCATTTCGCCCTTGGGATATTGGTGTAAGCAATCAGCGGACCCTCGGCGCCGTGCGGGTACGGCAACGTACTCAGCTGCCCAACGCCCTCGCGCCAGGCGCGCGCCATGCCAGGCAAGTACCAGAATCATGACTCTTGTGACGTGGTCACCATGAACGGCACAGTGACTCCCTGGCATGCCTCCAGGAGCTGCACCAGGGCCTGTTCAAACTGGTTCTGTAGCAACACCTGCTCCGCCTGGACAGCGTCCAGACCAGGCAGCCCGCGCGCGTATGACCACGAGCGCTGGCCTGGCAGCGCCCGCTGTGAAAACCAATGAACAGGGAGGATAGCCACGAGAGCCTTGACCCTTCCGTCCAAAATTTGATGGTTGTACCACGGGACACCACGCAAAAAAACGACGCGCCCCCCTTTGCATAAACGAATTCTTGAACAAGTGCCCAAAGTCTTCGCTCTGAACACCGCCGACACCTCCGGAGAGCCATCGTCTAGAATCAAAAAACGTTGGCCGCGTGGTGTCTGAGGCTGTTCCACAACCGGGCGCCCCATCGCGCGGGATGTAGGCCCACTCGTAGCTGCCCCTTGGGGGTCCCGCAGAACCACGAGTGTCTCCAGCCTCGCATCCTCAGCGCTTGCCGGCGCCCTTTCCGGCGCCTCGGTTTGCCTCCTTCCTGGCGTAGACGCGCCCTGCCAAAACTTCTGTTTGTTGGCCTGTCGGTTGGAAATGTCCCCATCCCCTCCTGGCGCACGCTTGCCCTGCTTGCCGCCGCCTTTGCCGTCGGCGCGAAACGAACGGCCTGCTGGGTCGGCGCCGCCGGCCCCGCCATCCGCCACGCCAGACAAGTAATTGGTTCGATTCTCCATCAGAACCTGCTGCTTGGCCAACTCCCTGGCGGTTTGGGCAGACCGGCGTGCCAGGGCGTCTGTCGCGGCCTGCTGCTTCGCCAAGGCGGACTCCTCGGCCACCGGCAAGCCTGCGCCCGCGGGCGCCGGAGCTGACCCAATCGAGGTGCCCACCCCGATTGCTTTCAGGAACGGCTGAAGCCTGGTCATGGCTGTGCTCCAGATCTGATCGTCCTTCTTTCCGGCCAGCTGCAGGAGCTTCAGTGCCGGGTCGCGTCTTTCAGCCCGCTGCGCCCCAGTTCCTCCGCAACAATTCATCGCGCACGAAGGCGCACACTGGCGAGCCGCGCTGCATGGCCTCCTCCCGCGCCAACTTGAGGATGTGATCGTAGTAAACCATCCCCGTCGCCCAATCGAGCTGCTGCGCGCCGACAGCCAGGATCAGGCACCGCATGAAGGCGCCAGCCCACTGTGCCGTAGTGCGGAACATTCGCGGCGCGGCAGAGGCTGCCTTGAGTGCCGCCGCCAATTTGGACACGGTCGCCTCTTGCGAACCATCCGCGAAAGCCGCCTGCTCCACGCCCGAAACCGCCCCGCCGATGGACTCGGCAGGGATCCACATGGGCAGGACGTCGGCGGACGTGATGTCTACATACATGAAAGGCTGCCGTGAAGGCGTGTCTGCTTTCGCCTTGGTCGTGAACGCATTCATGAGTTGCCATTGTTTCTGCAGTACTTGCATGTGGTACGGCAGCTCCTCCATGCCCGCATCCTTGAGCAGCTGCTTGACGTCCACCGCGGGCGACGTCGCCGCCGACAGCGCGCAAGCTACCGCCAGCGCGCTCGTCTTGTCGCCCACATGTGCCACATCAGCCAGATTGAGCTGCGGAGATGCTGGCCTCGGCGGCGGTGGACTCTGCGTCGCCGTCGCTGTGTTCACGGCCACCGCAACCGCAATCCTAGCGGTCTGCTCTGCCCGGCGCACCGCTCTGCGAACCAACGCTTTCTGTCCAATCGCCTCCGCGCCCGGGGCTCCAGGCGCTGCCAAAAGCTCCACAAGGTCCACGCCGTCAAGCTGTGCCGATGTCTGCAGAAACGTAAGGCTATGAAAGAATCCTGCAACGGCATCCACTTCCTCTTGCTGTGGAGCCGTGGGGTCAATGCTCGCAACCCACTGGGCCCAGTGTGCCTGGTCCCATTGAGTCATGCCGCTCCCCAAAATCAAAGGGGAATAATTCAGAAATGGGGGGAACAGAAGAGCTGGAAATGTTTGGGCCCAAATGGTCACGGAGGAAGTCGAGTGAAGAGGGAGGTGCAACGTGTATTCATGAATCCCCTGGTCTGCAATCCCCTGATCCCCTGGCTTGCTACCCGCTTTCACTGCGAGGGGCGAGAAAGGATAATGGGGGAAGGAGGGGAAATACACGTGCAATCAATCCCCAACTCTGCTATAAACTTCCGTCGACCTGTGACGATACGCAGAGGCGGCTGCTGAATGACATTGTGCTGCCGACCGATCTGCTCATGGTGTGTTATCGGTCGGTTCACACAAACACCTATGGAAAATCTATGATTTGGGCCCCTTGGGCCTCTTGGGGGTCCAAGAGGGCGTGAAGACGGCTCAAGATGGTCTCAAGACGGGGCAAGACGGCCCCAAGACGGCCCAAGATGGCCCCAAGAAGGCTCAACAAACTCCCAAGATGGCCCAGGAGGGCCCCAAGAGCGCCCACAAGAGCGCCTCCAAAGGCCAAAAACATAGATTTGCCTTAAAAAAGTTTTTGAAGGATTTTAGCGTTCTCGCCTTTTCCGGCTCTCAAAAGCCCATGACGGCCCAAGCAGCCTCCAAAATGGCCCCAAGACAACCCAAGCAGCACCCAAGGGGGCCCCAAGACGGCCCCAGAGGGCCCCAAGTCGGCCCAAAGAGGCCCCCAAGACGGTCCAAGAGGCCCCCAAGACGGCCCAAGAGGACTCCAAGAGGGCCCCAAGGCAGCCGTGAGAGGCCCCCAAGAAGGCCCCCGAAGGGGCCAAACGGCGCAAAAGCGCCCCAAGACGGCCCAAGACGCCCCCAAGAGGCCGCCAAGAGGCCCCCAGGAGGCCCCCAAGAGGCCCCAGGAAGCCCCCAAGAGGCCTCCAAGAACCCCCCAGGAGGCTCCCAAAAGGCCCCACAACGGCTTGACTGTACGTGCTCCGGACGTGCACCCCGCGAAGCGAGAGGAATCCACGTCCGGAAGTGACGTGTTGCCGGAGGCAGGTCCGCGGATGCTGTAATGCAACGCATCCAATTTATCTAATCATTGCATAATTGCTACATGTTGTATTGTATTGAAATATCATGTCTCCCCCCCTAACCCCCCCCTGGAGTCGCGCCACAGCGCCGTACCAAAGTGGCGGCCCCCCGTTTGGGGCCCCAAAACGTACCAAAACGTATGGGAAAATGATGATTTGGGCCTGTTGGCCCTCTTGGGGGTCCAACAAGGCCTCAGGAGGGCTCCAGATGCCCCCAAGACGGCCCAAGACGGCCCCAGGACGGCCCAAGATGGCCCCAAGAGGGCCAAAAAACACTCCCAAGACGCCCAAGAGGGCCCCAAGAGGACCCCCAGGAGTGCCTCCAGCGGCCAAAATCATCCATCATAGGGTTTTGAAGATTTTTGTGTTCTCGCTTATCTCGATTCTCACAGGCCCAGGGCGACCCAAGCAGCCTTCAAAATCGTCCCAGAACTGCCCAAGAGGTCTCCAAGAGGGCCTCAATACAGCCCAAGAGGACTCCAAGACGGCCCAAAGAGGCCCCCAAGACGGTCGATGAGGCCCCCAAGACAGCTCAAGAAGACCCCAAGATTGTCCAAAGGCGTCCGCGAGAGCCCCCCAGGACGGCCTCCGAAGGGGCGAAATTGCGCAAAAGCGCCTCAAGACGGCTCAAGACGCCCCCAGGAGGCCCCCAAGAAGCTCCCAAAAGGCCCCCACAACGATTGGACTGAGCGGCCACTTGACGGTCCCTCCGAAAGATCGGAGATGGAAGGTCGAAGATCGAGTAGCGCCGACAAAGCTGAAAAGTAAGAATGAGAGCAGAAGATACTGGATGAGAGGGAAGACGAGGATGAGAAGATCAAGGGGGGGAGAATGGGAAGGAGGAGAATGTTCGCTGACCGCCGATAGAACGAAGAAGGAGGGAAAAGGAAGAAGAGGAGGACGAGGAGGCGGAGGAGAAGAAGGAAAAGAAGCGTGCCCTGCTGGGCGAGCCGGCGGGCAGTTTCGCCTTCTCCGGTACTCGGGGGCCCACAACAGCCCAAAACACCCACAAGAGGCCCCAACGCGACTCCCAAAAGGCCCGAAGAGGCCCCCCAGAAGCCTCCATGAAACCCCCAAGAGGCTTCACCAAGAGTCCCCATAACGACTGGACTGCACGCGGTCCGAACGCTTGAATTCAACGTATCCAACGTATCCAATGATTACCAAATTGCTACATGTTGTATTGTGTTGCATTCTTATGTCTCCACCCCCCCCAGGGGCCACCCCACATCCGTCGACCCAAAGGTGGAGGACCCCTTCTGGGCCTCAAAACCTAAAAAAACTTACGGAAAATACATTATTTCGCCTCCTGTGGTCTCTTGGGAAAAGAAGAGAAAAAAAAAAACGAAAAAAGAGAAACGAAGGAAAAAAAATGAAAGAAGAAAAAGAAAAAAAAAAAAAGAAAACTGAAGAAAAGCGATGATATAAAAAATAAGAAAGAGAGAACTTTCTTGGAATAACGAAAGAAGCAGAAGGAAAGGAGACAAAAAGAAGAAGAAAAAAAAAAAAGAAAAGAAGAAAAAAAGAAGAAGGGAATAAAGAAAAAAAAGAAAAAGAGAAAACAAAAAGATAAAAAAAAGAAGATAAGAGAAAAAAAAAGTAAAACAGGAATAAGAAAAAGAACGAAAGAAAAGAGGGGTCTAGAAGGCCGTCAAGACGGCTCAAGATGGCATCAGTACGGGCCAGGACGGTTCCAGGACGGCCGAAAATTGCCCAAAAAGCCCCCATGACGGCCCCAGAGGGCCCCAAAAGCACGCCCAAGAGCGCCTCCAGAGACCCATACCACTGATATCCCCATTGTTTTTGTAGGATTTTAACGCTCTCGCTTATTTCGACTCTCAAAAGCCCTGACGGCCCAAGCAGCCTCCCAAACGGCCCAAAAACGGCCCAAGAAGTCTCCAAGACGGCCCCCCAAACGGGCTAAACAACCTCCTCCAACAGGGCCCAAATGTACTCCCAAAACATCCAAGAGGCCGCCGAGGCGGCCCAAGAGGACCCCAAGAGAGCCCCAAGGGAACCCCGAGTGACCCCCAAGACAGCCTCCGCAGGGGCCAAACCGCGCAAGAACGCACCATGACGGCCCAAGACGCCCTGCAGAGACACCAAGAGAGCCCAAAGAAGCCCCCCGGAGGCCCCAAGAGGCCCCCAAGTTGCCTCCAAGAAGCCGCCAACAGACGTGCTCCGACCCAAAGTGGCCCCTCCCTCCTGCGCCTCAAAAACTTATAAAATCCAGCCAGATTTGGGCACCGTCGCCTTCTTGGGGCTCCACGAGGACGTCCAGACGGCCCAAGATAGCCTCTGAACGGGCCAAGACGGCCCCAAGACGGCCCGACATTGCCCCAAGAGAGCCCAAGAAATCCCGAGGATGGCCCAAGAGGGCCCCACGAGCGCCCACAGCTGCGCCTTCAGAAGCCAAGATCATACATTGTCCTTATATATATATATATATATATATATATATATATAAATGCTATATTACACATATATATACACACATACACACATGATTTTAGCGTTCTCGCCTTTTTTCGATTCTCAGAGGCCCATGACGGCCCAACCAGATTCCAAAATTGCCCCATAGAGGCCCCAGAGGCTCCGAAGGGGGTCTCAAAACGGCCCAAGAGGGCCCCAAGACGCCCCAAATAGGCCCCCAAGACGGTCCAAGAGGCTCCCAAAACGGCCCAAGAGAACCCCAAGAGAGTCCCAGGGCGACCGCGAAAGGCCCCGAAGACAGCCTCCGAAGGGGCGAAACGGCGCGTAAGCGCCCCAAGACGGCCCAAGACGCCCCCAGGAGGCCCCCCACAGGCCCCAAGGGGCCGCAAGAAATCCCCAAGAAGCCTCCAAGAAACCCCCAAGAAGCCTCCAAAAGGCACAAGACGCCCCCACGGAACTCCCGAGAAACCCCAAAACGACTTGACTGCACGTACTCCGGACGTGCACCCCGCGAAGCGAGAGGAATCCACGTCTGGAATTCACGTGTTGCTGGAGGCAGGTCGCGCAGCGGACAGGAAACCCTTATGCAACAGATCGCATACATCGGATTATTGCACCATTGCACTGTACCCAATTATGACAAAATTGCTACATGTTGCATAGTCAAAGTGAGGGGGCCGAACGGTCATTCACTGTCCGTGGGTGCGTGGCTGAAATGGAATTCCGCGGTGCGGATTCTCGTTGTTGTTGTTGTTGTTGTTGTTGTTGTTGTTGAACATTATTACTTCTAAAGAATAATGATTGTTGGGGCCCCTGGTGCACGACCCCCCCGCCGCGCCTAGGCCGCAGCCACGTTTTCATTACTGTCGTGAGGAAGTCTCAGGCAAAACGGGTTGGTCCGGATCCGGTTGTGTTGTTACGATCGGTTTTCCCTTGCAACAAATAAGCTAAAGTTGACATTTCTTGTTCTAACATATCCAAACTTCAAGAATCCCTTGCAAAAAAAGAAGGTAAAGTGGACATTCGCGCGCGCAAGACGAAATCCGTCCAAAACCTTAGTTTTCGTAGCGATTTTAACATAAAAACATAAAACAACAATGGTTTTTGTTTAAAAAAAAATGTCAAAATTTCATCCCGCGCGCGCTCCTTGCGGATTCGTAGAAACCCAACACTTTTTAAACATTTCTGTCCAACGGTCTTTTGCGAGCATTTTTCCAACTTCTGCAACAAACGGTTGCGCACCTGCAGGGCCCTCATCCCTGTCAAATATACCATGCGGGACACATTAGTTTTTTCTTGCGCGCGCACGCGGTCGTCGTCGGCCCGCGGGGACCTGAATAATAGCCCAACGGCGTCCGCATGCCACGAAGTGAAGTGTCCGCACGTCATAGGCGGGAGCTGGGTGTGGGTGTTGGGCGAAGAGTCGTTTGGAAATTTGGTAGAGCTTTGAACCGCCCCCCGACAAAGGATTGGGGGTTTGCCCCGCCTCCTATGAAACCCTGGCACAGTGGTGAGCAACGGAGTGTCCCAGAGGCCTAGTAATTGTTTGTTTGTTGACACTATTACTTCTAAGAATTATTATTGTTGACCCCCTGGGTGTCACGCCCCCCGCCCAAACCTAGTCGGCCGCAAGCTCCTCATCACATTTTCATCAATTTTTTCTGCGAAAGCTTTCAGAAAGTGGATTACCCCCGGATCGGGTTTTTTGTCTGCGCGTTTTTCCCCTTGCAAAAACATAGAAAGATGAAAATTCTTGTTCTAGTTGATCAAATTTCAAAAAATCCCTTGCAAAAAATAAGGTAAAGTGGACATTCGCGCTCGCAAACGAAATCCTCCAAAACCTTAGGTTTCGTAGCGATTTTAACATAAAAACATCAAAAACCCAATGGTTTTTTAAGAAAAAATTGTCAAAATGTCCTTCCGCGCGCTCTTGCGGATTCATAGGAAACACACCACTTTTTAAACATATCCCCACGAATTTGCCCCAAAAATGTGACCAACTATCTTGGCACTGCGTACCATCTCACGTGTACCGTGTACCACATCATATGTAACAGATGTGATCAACCTCTGTGGGTGTGTACCCCGCGCCAGTGTAGTAGCCAGGGTCGTCCGCACGCCACGAAGTGAAGTGTCCCAACGTCATAGGGCGGGAAGCTGGGTGTGGGTGGTCTCGAAGAGTCGTTTGGATATTTGGTAGAGCTTGAACGGCCCCCCCACGAAGTGGGGGCCTTGGCTGGTGTCGCAAGAAAACCCAGGCACTGGGGAGAACACTGAGCGGTTCCGGGTAAATGAATGGTTGTTGTTGTGTTGTTGTTGTTGATGTTGTTGTTTGTTGTTTTGTTGTTGTTTTGTTGTCGTCGCCCACCCGCAACCCGCCCCGCTACCCACCCGCGACCCACCCGCGACCCACACCCGCGACCCACCCGCCCACCCGCGACCCACCCCGACCCACCCGCGACCACACCCGCGACCCACCCGACCACCCCGCACCCCGCCCGCGGCCCACCCCGCGGCCCACCACCGCGACCCACCCGCGACCCACCCGCGACCCACCCGCGACCCACCCGCGACCCACCCGCGACCCACCCCGCGACCCACCCGCGACCCACCTTCGACCCAAACCACGTTCAAGGTACAAACCACCATTTTCGGCGCCTGCGGCGGGCTTTTTGGGCATTCCTTCCAGGTGGAGAGCCCGCGACCCACTCCGTGACCAACTCGAGACCAACCCGCGACCCAAACCACGTTCAGGGTACAAACCACAATTTTTCGGCGCCTGCGGCGGGCATCTTCTGCACTCGTTTCAGGTGGAGAGCCCGCGGCCCACCCGCGACCACGTTCAGGGTACAAACCACATTTTTCGGCGCCTGCGGCGGGCATCTTTTGCATTCGCTCCCGGTGGAAAACCCGCGGCCCACCCGCGACCCACACCACGTTCAGTGTGCAAACCAATTTGTTTGCCGCCTGCGGCGGGCTGGTTTTGCATTCCTTCCAGGTGGAGGTGGAGAGCCCGCGACCCACCCGCGACCCAAACCACGTTCATTGAACAAACCAATGCCGCACAAGCGCGGCGGCGGATTTTTGCATGCCGTCTGAACCCGCAAGGACCTCTTCAAGCCCCGCGCATCCACACCAGCCCGTCCAGCAACTTTGCCCTGGCGAGTTGCCTTGATCAGAGAAGTCGGGGAGCATAAAGTGGAAAAAAGGATTGCGTTGCAGTTATCTTGGGAAAGGAGGGGGAGGCAGGAGGAGTAAACAGGGGACGAGGAGGACGCGGAAGAAGAGAGGATGTAAGGAGAATGTGGAGAAAGAAAAGGAGGAGGAGCAGGAGGACGAGGAGGGGGAGGAGGGGGAGGAGGGGGAGGAGGAGGACGAGGAGGGGGAGGAGGGGGAGGATGATGATGATGGACGACAATGGGAGGACGATGATGGAGGCCGATGAGGGGGAGGACGACAATGGGAGGACGATGATGAAAGGACGAGGGGGGGAGAGGGAGGACGAGGAAGAAGAGGAGGAGGAGGACGAGGTGGAGGAGGAGGATGACGATGACGATGAGGACGAGGACGAGGAAGAGGAGGAGGAGGAGGAGGAGGAGGAGGAGGAGGAGGAGGAGGATGGCACTTCCGCCAGCCCCCCCCCCCTTCTGGGGCCCAAGCACGTCCAACAACTTTTTGGAAATCGGCAATTTGGGCCCCTTGGGCCTCTTGGGGGCCCAAGAGGGCCCAAAGATCGCTCAAAATGGGCTCAAGACGGCCCAAGACGGCCCCGAAACGATCCAAAATTGCTCCAAGAGGGCCCACAACCCCCCCAAGACGGCCCAAGAGGGGCCCAAAAGCGCCCACAAGAGCGCCTCCATAACCAAAATCATTGATTTCCCGTTGGTTTTTGAAGGATTCTAGCGTTCTCGCCTTTTTCGACTCTCAGAGGCCCATGACGGCCCAAGCAGCTTCCAAGAATGCCCCAAGACGGCCCAATAAGCCCCCACGAGGACCCCAAGACGGCCCAAAACGGCCCAAGGACGGCCCAAAGAGGCCCCCAAGACGGTCCAAGAGGCCCCCAAGACGGCCCAACGGGACCCCCAGAGAGCCGCGAGAGGCCCCCAAGACAGCCTCCGAAGGGGCCAGACGGCGCAAAAGCGCCCCAAGACGGCCCAAGAAACCCACAAGAAGCCCAAAGAGGCCCCAAAGAGGCCCTCAAGCGGCCTCATAAAGCCCCCAAGAGGCTTCCAAGAGGCCCACAAGAGGCTCCCAAAAGGCCCCACAACGACTGGACTGCAATGCCCGCTTGTGATTTAGACACCCCAGAAAAGTAATTCAAAAATAATACCCCGCCCTGGGTGAACCGCCAGCGCTGGAAGGGAGGAGGGGGAGGGGAGAAGGAAGTGGAGGGATGGGGGGAGGCGGGAGGGAAGGGTAGCAGAGGTGAGAGCTCCCAGGAGGCCCCACAACGACTGCACTGTACGTGCTCCGGACGTGCACCCCGCGAAGCGAGAGGAATCCACGCCCAGAAGTGACGTGCTGAGTGGCAGCGTCTTCTGCGGAGGCGAGGATGCAACGTACCCAATGTTTCCAATTGTTGCAGAGTTTATACGTGCTTGTACTGTGCTGCGTTGTCTTCCCCCAAATCACCCTGAATTCGCGGCACTTCCGTCGATCCAAACGTGACGGACCCCTCTGGGCCTCAAAAAAACCTAGAGCAACCCATGGCAAATCGATGACTTCGGCCCCTTGGGCTTCTTAGGGCCCACGAGGGCCTCAAGACAGCTCCAGCGGGCCAAGATGGCCCGAAGACGGCCCAAGATGGTTCCAAGAGGGCCCAGCAAAAGCTCCTAAGACCAGAGGGCCCCAAGAGGACCCACAACAGAGCCTCCAGAAGCCTCCAAATGATTTTTGAAGGATTTTAGCGTTCTCGCTGTTTTTTCGACTCTCAGAGGCCCACGACGGACCAAGCAGCTTCGAAGAAGGCCCCAAGACGGCCCAATGAGCCCCCACGAGGACCCCAAGACGGCCCAAGACGGCCCCAAGACGGCCCAAGACGGCCCCAAGAGGCCCCAAGACGGCCAAAGAGGGCCCCAAGAGAACCCCGAGACGGCCGCGGGAGGCCCCCACGACGGCCTTCGGAGGGGCCAAACGGCGCAAGAGCGCCCCAAGACGGCCCAAGCTGCCCCCAAGAGTCCGCAAGAGGCCCCAAAGAAGCCCCCAAGAGGCCCCAAGAAGCCCCTAAGAGGCCCCCAAGAGGCTTACAAAAGACTCCCAGGAGGCTTGACTGTACGTGACCCGGATGTGCACCCCGCGAAGCGAGATGAATCGAACCCCGCGCGCACGCCGACGCCCACCCTCTTCTGCAGCATCGCGGTGGCGGTGAGCGCCGCCAAGAGCCCAGCAGCCACCTGGACGAAGACGTACAGTACCACGCGCGACCACGGCATCTTGCCCGCCATGGCCAGGGCAAGCGAGACCGTCGGGTTGAGGTGGCCCCCCGACACGGCGCCGGTCGCGTACATGGTGACCATGATGGAGAAGGCGATCGACGTCGGCATCCATGCCGCATCGCCGCTGATGACGGTGCACCCAGTGGTGAGGACTACGAAGAAGGTGCCCACGAACTCGGACACGTATGGGGCTACCACCTCGGCGACATCGATCAGCTGCATCATGACCTCCAGACGCACACCCGCCCGACCGCCAAAGCGCGGCGGCCGGATGCACTGCCTGACCACGGAGAGTCCTAAAGGACGAGGCAAGAGCGGCACTAGCACGCCCCGCACCCGGGCCGCACCATGGCGCTGGGCCTCCTCGACAAGGCCCGGGGAGTGCCTCAGCGCAAGGGGGTTGTTTCGCGGAGGGGGCGCGCGGGGAGGGAGGGGCCCCGACCGCGCGCGCCGCTTGAGCCGAAAAACACAAATGACCGCGAGCAGCCTTGGTGAGCCGCGGTGCGTCGGTCTCTCTCTTTCCCCCCGCCGCTCCGCTTTCTCCTCCGTCGCCAGCAGGGGTTGGCCGGACCCTTGAGTCCCGGCTGTTTAGCTTTCCGGACCGGGGCTAGTTTGATTGCCACTTCCCGCCGTGGAGGTTGGGACGCTCGGGGAAAAGGGTGTGATGAGTGAGTCTGTATGAAGGAAAAAGCGCTGATGAGGTTAAGTCTAAATGTGAATGCGTCTGGGTGAGGCAGAAGAGGGGGAGGTGAGTGAGTGAGTGAGTGAGTGAGTGAGTGAGTGAGTGAGTGAGTGAGTGACTGAGTGACTGAGTGAGGTCTGGATGCGCCTAGGTATCACAACTCCTAGGACAAGTCAAGGGGGCCACAACGCCTGAGACATCCCCACAATGCGGGCGCGAAAGGGTCCGTGCAGTGCCCCCTGGCAGCTCCCCCTTGGTCCTGAAACCAGCGCCTCGCCTGAGACATCCCCACAATCTGCTCTGAAAGCAATGTTGGGCACCCGAACACGCAAACCGCACGAGACATCTAAGCACGAACGGGCCCGTGTGGCTCCCCTTGGCGGCTCCCCATTGGAGTGCTGATACCAGCGCCTCGCCTGAGACATCCTCAAAATCTGCACTGAAAGCAAAAAGATCGGCACCCAAACAAGCAAACAGCAGGAGACTTCATCACAATCTGTGCGCGGACGGGCCCGTGCAATACCCCCTGTTGGCTACCCCTGGGGATGCTGTAACCAGCGCCTCGCCTGAGGCAGATCATCTGTGACATCCCTGCAATCAGGGCCAGACCGGGACTGTGCACTACCCCCTGGCGGCTACCCATTGAGGTGCTGAAGCCAGCGCCTCGTTCGAGATATCCTCACAGTCTTTGTGCGTGAATGGCTCTGAGTATGGGTGAGTACAACTACGGTAATGATGCGATCGAGTTTGAGCAATGACAAGAAAATTTGGGTATGAATGAGTATGAGAATGAGTGAGTCTGAGTATCCGTGAGTCTGAGTATGTGAGAGTCTGAGTGTGAGTGAGACTGAACACAAACGAGTCTGAATGCGAACGAGTCTGAGTGTGATGAGTGCGTTTGCGTGCGAGTTGGTGGGGAGGATGGAAGAAGAGTCGACGCGGTCTCAATAATTAGTCGACGCGGGAGACCCCAAATGTGCATCCTATACTCCCGTCGCGTTTCGTTGGGGAACTCTGTCTGTGAGTAGCCGAATGTGAAAGCGACTCCGCGTAGACGACAGGCGCGGCAATGACGACGAAGACAGCGACAACTTCAGAGACCTTCTCCTGCTGCTCCTCTTCCTCTTCTTTCTCTGAACATCGGTCAGGGGAGATGAGGGAACACACAACGGGAAACGCGAGGGGGAGTTGCTCTTGCCGTGCTCCCCGCGGCAATTCAGACAAGCGCGCATGGCGTCGCTACGCCCGCTCTCTGGCGAATGCTGGCACTCGGGGTGCCCAAGTGCCACGCCAATAACATATCGCGGAACATGTGTGTATGTGTGCGTGTGTGTGTGTGTGTGTGTGTGTGTGTGAGCCTCAATGCCAGTGGGCCTGAGCTTGGGAGAACTGAGTGTGAGCCAGCAGGAGTGTGAGTGGATCCGGGTATGGTCGAGCCTGAGTGTGAATGAGTCTGGGTAAAACGTGTGAGTACGAGCGGGTCTCAGTATGAGTGAGCCTGAGTTCGAGCGAGTCTAAGTGCGAGTGGGTCTGAGTGTGAATGAGCTAAGTGTGGCTGGGTCTGATTTTGAATGTGAAGAATGCAAATCTGAATGCGAGTGAGCCTGAATCTGGCGGCTCCTCCTTGGAGTGCTGAAATCACCGCCTCGCCTGAGACTTCCCCAATATCTGCTCCGACAGCAAGGAATGTTGGGCACCAAGCACGCACACCGCTTCAGACATCCCCACAAAGTGGGCGCGAACGGGCTCGTGCAGCATCCCCTGGCGGCTCCCCCTTGGAGTGCTGAAACCAGCGCCTCGCACGAGAAATCCGCATGATCTTCGCTGGAAGCAAAGGATGGTGGGCACCCAGTCAGGCAAACCGCTTGAGACATCCCAGCAATCTGGGCGCGCAATATCCCCTGCGGCTCCCCCTTGGATTGCTTAAGCCAACGCCTTGCATTAGACATCCTCGCAGTATGTGTTTTATGTGTGTGCAATTATGAGCATGAGTGGATCGGAGTGCAAAGACAACCAGAGTGCTAGTTAGTCTGAGTATAAGCGAGTCTGACAGTGAGTAAGTTTGCGTTGGGTGAGTCTGAGAGTGAGTGGGCCAGAGTGTGAGTGAGTCTGAGTATGAGTGCGCCTGAGCATGAGTGAGTCTGAGCATGAGTGCGCTTGGGTGAGAGTGCGTCTGAGTGTAAATAAGTCTGAGTGTGAGTGAGTCTGAGTACGAGTGAGTATGAGTGAGTCTGAGTATGAGCGAGTCTGAGTATGAGTGAATGAGTGGGTCCGAGTGAGCCTGGGTGAATCTGAATGAGGCTGCGTGAGAAAGAGGAGCAGCAGGAGGTGAGGAAGAGGTTTTGTTCTCGGACCCGTCAAAATAATAATAATACTAATAATAATAAGAATAATAATAATATTATTAAAAATGATGATAATAATGATGATACTGATAATAATAAGAAGAAGAAAACACCCATCTGAGGGTACGAGGAATAACACGACGCCCCGACTAAGATATGGGGAATGGCATACAGATGAATTGTTTGAGGTCCGCGCGCATTTCTTGGGTCGGCGCTGTAGCCTCCCTGCTCACGATCCTCATGCTTCACGCTCTCGCTCCTGACCCCCCTCCGCCGCGCCCTGGGTCGTCGATCTTCGTCGCGCTCGTCGCCGCCGCTCGTCGCAGACGCTATCCTTGCTCGTCGTCGTCGCTCGTCGTGGACGCCGTCGTGGTCGCCGTCGTGGTCGCCGCTCGCCGCTCGCCGCTCGCCGCTCGCCGTCGCTGTCCGTCGTCGCAGTCCTGACTCGCAGCTCGCTCTCACGTTGTCGACGGTCGCCGTCGTGGTCGCCGTCGCCGCGCGAGTGCCTTCTGGCACGAATACCGTGGGCCGCCCGAACATCTCCAGCATCCTCTCCATGTGCGCCAGGCGGCCTCCGGCGGCCCCCTCCGCGACATCGAGGTCGCCGGAGGAGCACAGACAGAGATTGGGGAGGGAGGGGCATCAGCAGCAGGAGGAGCAAAAGCGTGAAGAGGATGCGCGGGGGAGGAGAACGAAGGCGAGGAGGAGCAGCAGGAGGACGAGGTCATGGTCGGGGGCGGCCAGATAAGCCCTGTTTCATGAGGCCATAACGACCTCCTTGTTGCTAGGAAGAGATGAAGGTAACCTACTGGCCACGCTGCCCTCGCGCCAGTACGGCCAGCGCGACAAGGAGCCCTGGCCCTGGCTCACGATCCCCCATGGGCCACGGATATCAGGGCACCTGCCAACGGGGCAATCAGAACCCAGCGCTAGCCCGACCCTTCATGTTCGCGGATAGGCTGAACTCTGCCTGCCCGCTTCACAGGCCGCAGCCTCACCAGCCCCTCCAATGTCGTGCTGTCGCGCCCCTCAGCGGTGTGTCGACTAATGCGAGTCTCCTGAACTTCGCGTTCTCGCGCAGCCCCGTGGTAAGGAGCACCTCTCCTGCCCAGACCGCGAGGCGCAGCTACCCTGCCGCAACTAGCTACGGGTGGCCTGCGCCTAGGGCCAGCAAGTCGATTCAGCCCCTTTCCGCTGCACCCCTTACACGGGTGGCTCCAGGCTGGCTGCGTCGGGCCGCGTCAGCCACAGCAATCTCCAATTTGACGGCGCTATCCGCCCGGAGTGAGAATTGACCAGTCCTTCCTGTGACGACGTTATGGGGGAAGGTAGTGATAGAGCACAACACCCTGACGATGGGTTAGACGTACACGAAGGTGGTTAATTACCAACACGAGGAGCTGCAGCCATGGATGGTGACGAGCGCGAACTAACATTATGCGGCTCTGGATCGCGTAGACCTGCATTCATGACTGGCCCCATTCAGGAATTGTTTGTGTCATCATGCTGGTGACAAGGACAAGCTACACGCTAAGCTGCACTACGGCGCAGGATTACGCAACATCACATCACGAGAGTGCAATTTATCACATTCAGGGTCGTGGTCGATCTTGGTATCTTCCAGGTCTGCCCATGCCTCTTTCATGGGATGCAGGCTTGTATCGTTGCATTGCTCGGATTCGTCATCGTTGAGCCGAGCCCCAAACTGGCCCTTGCTTCGGCCAACTTTAGTGTAGTAGTCCCGTCTGGCGTGTAAGTGCCGCTGCAAGGGTCAGAGTAGGTGCAACTAATTATCGTTACCAGCGCCGAGCCCAAACATGGTCCTTGCTTCAGTCAGGATGCAGTCCTCGACGGCCATTAGGTGTGGCTCCACAGCCTCAGCCTACGGACGTTAGGGGTACCCAACTTATGGGGGGGGGAACGTCGAGCTGCAACCGGCGGGATGTCTGATAGAATCGGCGGGATGTCGCCGATGGATCGGCGATAGAAACCCGATAGCGCATCCAAACGTTCCTGGGCGGGGTGGGCTTTCGGGCAACTGCCGGCGATCAATGAACGATTGGGAATCGGTGCGTCGCCCGCGGAGCCTATCCCCCTCCCCAACGGTGCCCCTGGCTTTCGGGCCAGAAGCTCGGCTCTCCGGCGGACGTTCGCGACGATCTGGGCACCCCGGAACGCCCTTGGCGAAGCGAAGCTGCTGGAACGCACCCCGAGGCTGGAAAGCCGAGAAGAGCTACTGGAAACGCTGTCACCCCCCCCTACGTTGTGTCACTGCCATGAGGGCCTCCCTAGCGGCACCTTCTTTTCCCGGCGCGGGGGCGAGGCTCCGAGAAACCCCGAGCATCGGCGCGGCGCCGCCGAGGCGGGCGAAGAACGGGCGACAAACGGGACGTGCTTTTCGTGTTCGCTTTTTCGGCGGCGAGCGAGCGAGGGAAGCGAGAGAGGGCGGGTCTTCTCAGTCAGAAGGTTCGGGGGGCCTTCGGCCTGAAAAGAACTGTCCTAAGCCTTCCCCGAAAACAGAGAACACTTCT